TAGTCCCTCAAGTGTGTCTCAGTTCATAGTGGCGCCGACAGCCCCTGGCTTTCATTTCGCAGGGTGCTGGCTGTGCGAGTGCTGGGGCGGGGTGGGGGGAGCAGTGTACTGAAGACTCTCCCGGTCCCTCCTGGCTGAAATGTAGCCCAGAAAGGAGGACACACTTGGCCAGGGCACACAGCCCGGCCTCTGCCCTGCCAGGCCCAGGTGAGTCTTGCCAGCCCGCCGGCGGGGAGGCGGAGCAGGGCGGGGAGGCGGAGCAGGGCGGGGAGGCGGAGCAGGGCTGGGAGGGCAGCGCGGGGCGCTGGGCCTGGGGCGGAGCTGAGGGCCGGCCTGGGGAGTCAGGAGCTGGTGGCCAGGTGGGCGGTGAGTGCTCTGCCGGGGAGCCGCCCTGCCCCGCGCCTGGGGGCTCGGTGTGCTGTGTGGGGACACTGTGGCGCTGAGGGCCGCCTTCGGGACTAGGACACCTGGCTTCAGAGCTGTCCTGGCAGACAGGCTTGGGAAACCTCGGTTTCCCTTGGGGGAGTCTGAGGTGTAGATGGCAGGTAGAAGGAAAGGGGCGACTGGAGGTGGGGGCCCTGTCAGGATGTGGCCTCTGAGGTCTGAGAAGAGGCTGTGACTTCGCCTTGGGGGCTGTGGAGGGAGGACCTGCCTCTGAGCTGGCGAGTACTTCCCTTCTTGCGTTCATTCCGACAGTCTGGCCCCGCTGGGCGAGAGCTGGGATACAGCAGGGGGAAAATGAGGGCACTGCCTGCCCTCATGGAGGGCACATTCTAGAAAGGATTGGACAGCAAAGAAATGCCTAAATACATGGTCTGTCTGGCGGTGAGATGCGCTGTGGAGAAAGACAAAACAGGGACGGGGTGGGGGGGTCTGAGGCTGGGGGTTGCAGTTTTACAGAGCACAGCAGGGACGGTGACACCTGAGCAGGCTCAGGTGAGGGCAGGCCACGTGGCCACCTGGGGGAAGGCTCTGGTTCTCACTGTCAGTGCCGTGGCACTGGAGGGCTTCCAGCAGAGCCACCTGCTCCGCCTTGGGGTCTAGCAGGTCATCTAGCTGTGGGGTGGAGAACAGACTGTAAGAGGGGTTGGAGGCAGTGAGGGGGTCATTGCTGTCATTCTGGGGAGAGGCCATGGGGACTTGCACCTTGGCAGAGGTGGTGAGAACAATCTCAGACTTTCGGATTTGAGAGATCTTTTTGAAGGTTGGGTCAATAGGATTTGGGATGCAAGAGAAAGGTGGCGCCAAGCATGACCCCAAGTATCCGGAAGTTTGGAGTTACCATCAGCTGAGATGGGAGCAGTTTGGGGGGAGATCAAGAATTCGGTCCTGTGTGTGCCAAGTTTGAGACACTGGGAGACATCCCTGCTGAGTAGGCAGCTGGGGAAAGTTTTGGGGGGATGTTGGAGTTGGATATAAGATTGGGGCATCGTCATCTTGTAATTGGTCTTTAAAGTCCCAAGAGCAGGTGGGCTCAGCTAGGGCTATGGAGAAGGAAAGAAGGGGCCCAGCATTAGGAACCGGCCAAGGAGACAGAAGGAACAGCCGGTGAGGCGGGGGGAAAGCCAGTGTCGGGGCTTTCCCAAGCCGGAGGGCAGTGGGGAGATGCCCCCGGGGAGGAAGGGGCGAGCACGACCCATGCCTCTGGCAGAGCGAGCAAGGCCAGAGCTGTGAACTGAGCAATGGGAGGTCACTGGTGACTGTGACCAAAGCTGTCTTGCCGAGTTGGGTGGGGAAACCCCACTGGAGGGAATGGGGGGGGGACCTGGGGCAGCAGTGCAGGCAGCAGACGGGCAGGCTTGTCTGTAAAGGGGGCTGCTGAGGAATGGGACTGGAGCCCATGGGGAGGGCGTCGAGAGGGTTTTGCCTCCACAACAGAGAAATCACATGTGTCTGTGGGAACTGGTCCCTTAGAGAGAGAAGCTCAGCGAAGGGGAGGGAGCATGGAGGGGGGGGAGGCGAAGAGGGTGGGCCCAGTGCCCTGGTGGGGCTTGGTCCCAGCTGGGGCCCAGGGCACTTCAGAAGTTGGGCTTCCCTTGGCCCGGCTTCCTCTCCTGTCTGCAGGGACAGTGGGCTGAGACTTCGGCGCTTAAGCAAAGCAGCCGGTTCTTGGCTCCAAAGAGACGAGTCTGGCTGTGGGCTCAGGAAGGAAGGAGGTGGCAGGGCACAAGCCTAGGCCTGGGGTAGCGGGAGGGCTCACATGGGTCACCCCTGGACCCTTCCTTTCAGCAAGGGAGTACCCCTTTCTTTGTATGGGCCTCATTTGGGGAGAACAGTGGTGTCTTTGAAGTTGTAATAAGTGAAGTAGAGAAGGAAAGGCAGTGGAGAGACTGAAATATTAATATTTAGTCTGGAGAGGCCAAGTCTGACGAGGTGATAAAGGGGCAAGAGGTTGGGTATTAGGGAGGGTTTTTATGAAATAGGTGATGAGTGAATATCATCTGTTCTCTTTCTCTCTCCCAATTTAATCTCCAGCAGGAGAAGCTTAAGCTAGACATAAAGAGGAACTTCCTGAGCTGGTTAGCGAGGACAGCGCCAAGGCCAGGTCCCCTCCCCAGATGTATAAGATGACACGAGGGCATGCCTGCTCAGGGACAGGGGCTGGCTGAATTGTCCTCGGGCGTTCTCTCTGCTGTGAGGTCCTGGAGAAGGGCAGGGCAGAGATGTGACTGTCCGGCTGCTGGTGGGAGGACAGAGCACCGAGCCTCAGGGCTGGCGTCCGCCTCTCCTTCCTGGTGTTCATGGGACTCTGACATCACTAGGCTGGGTGTGTGTGGCTCAAGCGACCGTCTGGCTGCACCAGACCCAGACGTGGTGTGTTTGGGAAGGGCCCTGCTTACTTTCAGCCTGTCCCCTTGTGGTGTGTCCCCTCCATGGTGTGTCCCATGTCCCCGTGGGGTCTTTCAGCGAGGGTCGTGGAGGGAGCACAGGCTTTGCTCCAGAACTGCCGAGAACTACCTAGTTCCACACGGCTGGTTGGCCAACTCCAGCTTCTGCCTCATCCTTTTGGGATTTCCCCGGGAGGTGGGGTCTGTGGGCGCATCCGGGCCTGCCAGTCCTGTGCCACTGGGCTTTTGGCTTCCTGCCGAAGGGCTGCACACAGACAGCGTGGCCATTGACGGGCTTTGATGGGGGAAGAAGGAGGTGCAGGCTGTCCCAGTGAGAAGGAAAGAGCAGGTGTCTGCCTCAGACGTTCTCCAGCAAGCCGAGCAGGTATTGTCCTGTCTCAGCTACCTCTCCACCTTCTTCAACTCCGGGCTGTGCACCACTCCCGGGACTGGGGTGGGAGGGAGAGGGCTGACGGCACTTCTGGGCTATTCATGGGGGGAGAGTGGGTGGGTGGTTATTTTCCCAGGATCTGGGCAGGGCTGGCAGGTGTTGCCAAAGCTGAGAACCACTCCAGGGCCAAGCCTGGAGCTTGTCCTACCCCTTCCTGTCCTCTCCTTCTCTCCCCCACTGACCCCTGCTCTTCTGCTTGGGGGTAGGCACAAGGAAGGGACCCGCTTGGCTGGAAAGAACTGTTTTTGTTTCTTGTTTAGAGCAATCTCTGCAGTGGGCACACCTTCCCTTGCTCCTTCCCAAGCTGCCAGACACTCAATTAACCTACATGCCTCAGTTTCCCCATCTGGCCAGCACAAGGCGCTGGCCTGTGTGTTGGCAGCCTTCTGAGAGACTGGCGATTTCTTCTTTTGCTCACCGTGGCTGCCCCAGGAGGACAGGCACAGAGTGTTCCCGCCCTCCCCTCCCTCGGTGGATTTTTGATTCATGGACATTCCCACAGGGCTCTGAGGCGCCCAGCGCTGTGCCAAGCTCCGGGATGCCAGGTCAGACGAGCAAGACCCAGGCTCTGCAGGGGCCAAGCAGGGAGTGAGACACAAAAGCATCCAACAGGAAAGAGGCAAAATCCCCGAGGCACTCGGCCTCTGCTCCCTCGAGCGTCTCAGAACGTTCCCAGTTAGAAAAAGAAGCTGACGTCTCTCTTCTTTTTCCATGCCTCACCCTTTCACTTTCGGTTTCTTGGGGCACAGTAGGAGCCCTTGTCCTGGACCCCATGACGGTTGTAGAACTGACTATGCTGAGAGATTTTCCCTGCCGCTCAGGGACCCTCCCAGGCTTGCAGCTCCTGGCGCTCTGGGGACCGGGTTCAGAGCAGGCTACTGGCAGCGGCAGGGCAGCCTGGACGCGGTGGCGTGGTGATGAGGACCTAGAAGGAAGGTGAGGGCCCTGCAAGGGAGAGGGAATGTTGACGGGGACAAGGCACCACTAAGCTTTGAAATGGCTTTGCACCATGATTTTTCACTTCGCCTGATTGGGATCTTTATAGCAAGTTCTGGGTCCGTCCTCGTGCAGCAGCATGTGTCACGTACACAGGATGGGCTCCCGCAGGGCAAGGCATGCGTTCTGAACTCACATGCTTGGGTTCAAATCCTAGCTCCACCTGTCTAGCTGTGATACGTTGTACAAATCACTTAGCCTATCTGTGCCTCAGTGTCTGCATTTGTAAATTGGGCTCAACCCATGGGAGGGTTAAATGAATTCATACAGGAAAGCACTTCTATAGAATGGTTCTTGGCATATTGTATGTGCTTAATAAATATTAACCATTAATGAAACTGCTGTGGCCTGAATCCAGCCAGCATGAAAGAGCCCTCTTACCCTGTCTTGAAGAAAATTAATTTCCTGATCCCTAGAGAGACTTTGCTCCTAATATTAGCTCACGCCTTTTAAAACTTCTTAAGGCAGAGATCAAGCATGGATAGGGGAATCAGGAGTCTTGCTTTAATTCTTGGTTACTTCAAACTCTCTGTGGGTCCTTAAAGGGTTACTTGCCTACTCGGGGCCTCAATGAGCACATCTGTTCATGGGGAGCTTGGATTAAGTAACGTCTGAGGGTAGAGCCACAGTCCACTTGGGCTCAGGTGGGGCTGACTTGCGCCGGCCTTGCCCTGCGCCCTGTCTGGCTTCTGGGAGTTCTGTGCTGACCTTGTTCTCCTCCCCAGGTTGTGAAATGTGCTCGCAGGAGGCTTTTCAGGCACAGAGAAGCCAGCTGGTGGGGCTGCTGGTCTCGGGGTCCCTGGAAGGCTTTGAGAGCATCCTGGACTGGCTGCTGTCCTGGGAAGTCCTCTCCTGGGAGGACTACGAGGGCCTCAGCCTCCTGCGCCACCCTCTCTCCCAGTCGGCCAGGCGCCTCTTGGACACCGTCTGGAACAAGGGTGCTTGGGGCTGTGAGAAGCTCATCGCGGCCATCAGGGAGGCCCAGGCCGACAGCCAGACCCCGGAGCCGCGTGACTGCTGGGACCCCCGCTCACTCCACCCGGCCCGGGGCCTGCAGAGTCACCGGCCAGTCATCGTCAGGAGGCTCTACAGGCATGTGGAGGGCGTGCTGGACTTGGCGCGGGAGCGGGGCTTCCTCAGCCAGTACGAGTGTGACGAAATCAGGTTGCCGATCTTCACGTCCTCCCAGAGGGTAAGGCACTCCGCCCTGCATCACGGATTCACAGAAAGGGGAACTTAGTCACCAAGACTGATTTGTCCTTGTGAAGTCACAGGGGAAACTCGGTCCGTGGGATTCCCCCTAAAAAGGTAGGTGACAGTTGCTCTTGACTGTTGGCAACACGCCACTTCTGATGAGAAGAGGTGTGGTGTGGTGGCCAACGGCCTAGATTTTGGACCTAGAATGATGCAGGTTCAAAGTCAGCTCTGTGTGACCTCCCACTTCCTTATGGAACCTCTGCATCCTTAATCTCTCCTGCCTCAGTATCCTCATCTGTAAAACATGGATAATAGTCTTTTGGTACCTATCCTATAAAGTTCTTGTGAGAATTCAGTGAGTTCATTTGTGTGATGCTCGTAGCAGTGTCTGCCGCATGGTGCACACCCGCTGACATTACCGCCCGTGGCGAGTACTTCCGTTATAATGATGCTCTGCGCTTGTGCGCTTTGTTGCTGTGTTTTAGATTAATAGCTCAACAAATCAAAACATATCATTCATTAAATCTCTATTTGATAATTAATATAGCACATTATACACTAATATAGTTTAAATGTCCACCTAGGATTTCTGATATGAAATTACATTAGATCATGTATGTTCAGAGTTGGGCTACATATAACTGCCCCTGAAAATGTAATGATGCAACAGAGACCACAAGGACAGAAAAGTATCTGCTGGGTATTCTTGAAACTCTCCTGTTTTGTTTCCAAACAGTGATCCTCGGTGCTCCTGTGCGGCAGGTGGAACCCTCATTAACATCCCATTTTATAGATTGGGAAATTAGAGCCCAGGAAAGTGGTTTGAATAATTTCACAGTAGTTAATGAGAGGGCCAGTGCTGGACCTAGGATTTTGACTCATTCATTCCTTAATCATTCATTTGTTCATTCTTTTATTTATTCGGCCAGAGTCTATTAGGTGCATACTATGTGCCAGGCTCTTTCTTAAAGTTTGTTGTGTTCAGAGTGCTTTGCACATGGTAGGTACTTGATAAATACTTGTTGAGGAAATAAATGAATTGTTGAATGAATGAATAAATTGGAATTGCATTGCAGTGTTAGGATGGGCTAGGTTGGGGAACTTTTTAGTTTTTATTTTCATCTATTTTTTAAAGAATATATTTGGTGTCCAAGTGAGTCTAGGTAAGCCTAAGTTAAGACTGATGAAATAAATTAATGTGTCTTCAAGGCTGATTTTAAAGCTGGCTTATGCGGCTAAGTATTTACAGAACAGACATGATATGGTCCCCTTTAATTAGTGCACATGAAACCTACAACCTTACCCAAGGTAGGAGCACCAACTCCTTGAGCCTGGCTCCAAGGGAATTACAGAAGACATATTCCTCAATGTACCTACCTTTATGCCTCTTATGATTTGTTAATGGGGTCCAATAAGCCCAGCTGAGATGTTACAAGGTTGAGTCTTGTCATCTTTGATCAAGGCTCAAGAGTGTGGCCCGGTGATGTCCCTAGAGCCCAAAGGAGACAGGGCCTGAATAGAGGAAGTATTTGGATTGGTGAAGAGAGGAAAATGAGATAATTGATGGGTCAAAGAAGAAATCATAATGGAAATCATAAAATATTCGTAACTGAACAATAATGGGAATATTACTTATCAAAATGTATGGGATGCAGCTAAGGCAGAAAATAGAGAGAAATTTATAACCATAAACAGCTTAGAGTAGGAAAGAAGAAAGGCTGGATTTTAAGGGGCTGAGAATTAATCTTAAGAAAGGGCTGAATAGACAGTAAAAGCAAACACTGAAGGCTAGGACCGAACTGAGTGGGCAGAGCTGATGGGGCAACAGATCTGGGAACGGCAGGAGGTTACAAAGGGACTGCACTGCTGAGGTGTAAGTTTTTAGAATCCAGCTTTCTGTGAGCCTCCTTTGAGCACTGGCATTTTATGATTCTCTGATTTGGTGGCCTTCCCTTAGTGGCTGAATTTCTGATTCCGTTTGGGCAGCACTTGTGATATGCCCAACTAACATGAACCCAATCAAACTTTTAATTTCCCGTAAAGAAGTGGTTGCCATTGATTGTAGGCTGGGGACTGAAAAACACCATGGAATGAAACAAAATGCAATTAGAAGACTAAATCCCCCAGACACCCATTGCTACCATTTATTGAGTGATGCCTGCTGCGTACCAGCCACTGTCCTCAGCCTTTTCCCTGTGTTATCTCATTTAAGCCCCACTATGTCCTTCCAAGGGTGTGGAGCTGACTGCACTGCTGCTCAACCATGAAGAAACTGCGCAAATCACCCATATGGGGAGTGGCACAACTAGGATTTGAATCCAGACCTGTTTTTCTCCAAAGCTTGTGCTATTCTCTCTCTGTCATAAAATGTGGGGGCTTTGTGTGGTAAACTTGCTCAGTTGGGCATAACAGTCGTTAGGAAACCTGAAGCTGGTAACACCAGCTGTAATACCAGCTGTCTGTCTGACTCACACAACTGCTAAAGTTGATGGGGCTGAGGTATCGGACTGAAATCTAAATTGCTTAGCTCCTGTCATGATATTAACTTCAACATATTTAAATTGGGAAATGTCTAATGCCTACAGAAGAGTGTATACGTTTCATGTGTACGGTGTAAACGCATTGCCACTACCCAGGTTAGGAAATAGGATGCTGCCCGTACCTTGGCCCCTCCTTCAGTTGTAAGTACTAGGGGTAAGCACTAACCTGACTTTTTGTGTTAATCATTCCTTTGCTCTTCTTTATCATTTTAGCACCTTTCGAAATAAATCCTCAAACAATGTTTTACTTTATTTTGAAAAACTGAATAGCAAGCCAAACATAGCTGTGCAAAAAAGGGGCACCATTGCCCCTTCTTAGATGAAGGCTCCCAAGTCAGGGAAGCTGAACAGAGTCTTGGGCATGGCTGTACCTTCTGGCTGTACCTTCGTTGGGAGTTTATAAGGACTCTTTCTGGAAGTCAGTTGGCAAGTTCATGAATGAGTCTGGGGAAATATAGGGCCCATTACCACGGGAGGCTCTGGCAGGGCCGATATGAGCCACGTGCTGGATGTGCAGCAAGGAGATGGTCAGAGGAAGTGGGCTTCTCTGTACGTTCGGTTGTGAGCATGCCAAAGGCTATTCTAGCTTCCAGGAATAGGTTGAGGCCAAACACACTGGTGGGGTGAAATGAATATCCTCAGCTGACTGAGGCAGCAGGAGTTGAGAAAAGGAATGATATTAGTCCCAGGTGAAGACAAGCCAAATATAGGTTAAGTTTAGGGCCAGGCTTGCCCAGACATCTAGGAGATAACTGCCTTTGATATGTCTGAGTCTTGAGTCACTGCTCCATTCTGTCTGAACTGGTTGCCCTCCGCTTCTAGTACACAGCCATCATCCTGAAATTTCCCTTCATAGTCCTTTGTGTTGAGTCTCTAGTATCCTAAATACCATGTCTTCCTCTTTCCTGGTTTACTCCATTTTGATAAATCACATTCTACAGTTAATTCTTTAGAATGAGACTATGGGAGTTAAAATTTCTGAGCTCTTACATATCTAAAAGTTCTTTCATACTGGATTGATAGTTTGGTTGGGTATAAAATTCTGGGCTGGCCATCATTCTCCTTCAGCATTTTTATTCCATTATCTACTCTTTTCAGTATTGCTGCCAAGAATTCCAAAACCATTTTATAACTTTTTCTGGAAGTTCATAAAATTTTATTTTAGTTCCTAACATTCTGAAATTTCACAATTATGTGCCTTGGTGTTCTTCTATTGTGCTGGTCACCTAAGAATATGGAAACTCATATCTTTATATTCTGGGAAATTTTCTTGATTAGTTTCTTGATGATTTTTTCCTCTGTATTTTCTCTCTCCTCTTTTTATGAAACTACTATTACTTGAATGTTAGAACTCCTTGACTGATCCTTAATTTTCCTTTATTTTCCATTTCTGTGTCTTTTTGCTCTACTTTCTGTATGATAGTCTCAGCTATATCTTGAAACTGTTGAATAATTCATTTTTGCTATCAAGCTTTTAATTTGCAAGAGCTATTTTTTACTGTTCCTTTATTATAATGTCTTGTTATTGTTTTATGGATGCAATATCTTCTTTTACTTAAGGATCAGAGTGATAGTTGGGTTTTTTTTTTTTTTTTTTTTTTTTTTGCTTCTTTGGTTGGTTGGTTGGTTGGTTTTCACCATACATAAACTTTTTATCCTACAAGTAGCTTTCCCCTTCTCCCACTTGTTTGGTTTCCATCCTCCATATTAGATACTTTCTTTGAGCATTTGGCTGTCTTTCTCATTATTGAAATGGAGGACCTTAAAACTTCCTGATCATGCAGCACCTTGTCTACCATGAATTTCGCTGTAGATATCTTCAGAAAATGGAAATGTTTATATCTCTAGATCTTTCCTCCTGGGTTAAGGAAGTATCCTGAGTAGACCACAGGCCTCCTGCCTGGGGGTAAAGTCTGACTGCCAGAGGTCTGAGAGCCTAGTGGGTGAGAGGGCTGAGTGGCGGTGGTGGTGGGGGAAAGCATTCAGAATTTATTTTGCATTTGTCATTTACACCCTCTGTTTGGGGTGTGACAACCACTTCTGTAATTGTATCTGGTATCTCACAGTGCAGGGACTCTCTTTTACTCTTTGCAGAATATAAATCTCCAGACTTTGTCCTGGCATGCAGGGACAGTTGCTAGTTGCTTGGACTAGGGAAGGGAGACCAGAGATCTGTTTTATAAACCTCTTTGACTCAGTCCTCTTTATCTTAGTCACTTCTAGAGGGACCTGACGCTGAGAGTTCCAGTGCCCTTTACAGATTCTAGGATGTACATTGTATGGTTTTCAGTTTTCCCATTTTGGGGTTAGGATTTGGCTCTCAGGAGCCTTCTAAGTCCATTGCCATTCATTCATTCAGCAAGTCCTTGAGCGTCTCGTCCATGCCAGGCCCTCTTCTAGGTGTTGGGGCTACGTCAGTGAACAGGACAGACAAAAATCCTTGTCCTGGAGATGCTTACACTCCGGGGGTGGGAGAGAGACAGTAAGCGAAAGGGAGCAAATCACAGAGTGTGTTAGAGCGTGGTGAGTGCTGAGGAAGGAAGGAAGGTGGGGTTGGGAGTTGAGAGTTTGGGAAGGGGATAGGGGATAAATGATGTCAATTTTAAATAGAATGGTCAGAGAGTTCTTACTGAGAAGGTGAAATTTGAGCAAATACTTGAAGAAGGTCACAGAATTAGCTGTGTGGGTAGCTGGGGGAAGGGATTCCAGGCACGGGGGACAGCCAGGACAAAGACCCAGAGGTGAGAGCATGCCTGGTGTTTGTAGGAAGCAGGAGGTCAGGCTGCTCCTGGGGTAAGAGGTGAGGTCAGAGGAGTAACCTGGGCCCAGGTGGTTATACACAGGGAGTTTGTGTGTTTTGAGCCTTGCAGATTACTGTTGGACTGGGGAACGCTGCCAGGATGTTTGTAACAGGACTGGTGTGACTGACCTTTATTTGTAAAGAATTACACTTTGGCTGTGGTATTGAGGATAGGCCGGGGAGGCAGGAACAGAAGCAGGGGACCAGTTTGGTGGCCTTTGAAGTTTGCCAGGTGAGCAGTGATGCTGGTTTGGATCAGGAAGTTGGTGGAGAAAAGGCAGGCAGTACAGCTGTATGTCTGGTCTGCAGACACTGGCCACAGGTGGCTGTTGAGCACTTGAAACCCGGCTGGTCCACACCGAGTTCCTATGAGTGCATGGTACACATCAGATTTGTAAGACTTAATATGAAATAAAGAATGGGACACATGTTGTGAATTTTTAATATTGATTACATGCAGAAATGGTAATATTTTAGGTATCTTGAGTTAAATAGAATATATGATTAAAATTAGTTTCATCTTATTTCTTTTTACTTTTAAAAATGTGGCTGTTAAAAGATTTGAAATTGCACAGGTGGTGTGCATTGGTACTTGCATTGTATTTCCGTTGGGAAGTGCCCTTCCAGACATACTTTGAAGGTGGCGCCAACAGGATTGCTGACGGATTGCCAAGGGGAGGTTTCAAGGGTGACTCCAAAACCTTGGAGCTGAGCAAGTGGAAGGATGAAGTTAACTAAGCTGAGATGAGGAAGGCTGCAGGTTTGGCATCTATGTGGGTAGATAAGAAGTTTAGTTTTGGATATGTGAAGTTGGAGGTGTTTATGAAACATTTGAGTAGAGACGAAAGGTGGGCAGTTGGCTGTGCAAATCCAAGGCTCAGGAGCCACTTCAGGCTAGAGATGAAAATGTGAGAGTCTTGAGCAGAGATGCTAGTCAAGCATTCAAGCTATGAGATTTGATGAAATCACTTCTCTTCCAAATGATTTATAGCTTCTGGAATAAATTTCCCCATCTTTGTAGGTTTATGTCTTTATTTTGTTTTGTTTTGTTTATTGTTTAGCTATTCACTCTTTTACTGGGTTTTGCAAGGGAACCAGATTGGATGCATTTAACTTGTTAAACTCATGTGGTTGTTTGGTTGCTTCTCTAGCCTTTTATTCTGGTGGAAGAGAGGTGCCCACGAACGTGCATCAACAGTAATCAGTAGAAACCTCCCCACAACGCTCCATCAGCCTTTCTGGAAAAATAACGGCTTTTGCCTTTCCCACAGGCAAGAAGGCTGCTTGATCTTGCCACAGTGAAGACAAATGGATTGGCTGCCTTCCTTCTACAACGTGTTCAGGAACTACCGGTCCCGGTGGCCCCGCCTTTGGAAGGCGAGTATCTGTTCTCAGTGCATGAAAAAGGGGAAGAAAGTCAGTGCAGATTCGTGGTTACGGGCAAAATACACGTCACTTAGTGTTCCAAGTACTGGCTGCCAAGCCTCCCTAAGACTCAGTTTCCTCATTTGAAGGCTAACATTATCATGCATCTCACTGGGCTTTCGGGAAGATTAAAAGGGTAGAAGTGTGCAGTGTTATCCAGTAGTTTTCATTACTTCCCACACTGTGTAGTGATAACTGGAGCTGTTGAGGGCTAACTGAAGGTGTTCCCTACTAGCCAAACTCTCATTATCTGTCCCAGAAAGATGTGGATATATTTTTGAGATAAGGCTAGTATCACTTTATCTCTGAAATTTATCTACTCACAGTCAGAAATGCAAGAACCAAGTGGATTTAGATAATGTGGTCCTCCCCTGGCACTCACGGTTACCAACCAAGCTCAGGAATGGGGGGGCGTGGCCAGCACAGCTTGAACATGCCAAGCACACACACAGTGGGCATGCTCTGCGTTTATGCCTCCTCTTTTGTTCCCAGAGCGAATGATCACTGTTGCTCCTTCCGCCCTCTGGATATACCAAGAGCACCGAACAGAGACCACAGATACAGATCTTCCTCTCCAATACATATCAAATATATATCTTTTTCTTCCAACCTGATTCCCATGCAGGTTTTCCAGCCATTACCAATGATATCAAAATCCTCCAGAAAAAAAGAAACTCTCATTTTCAAGAGAAATTAACATGTCACTTGTCACCTTTAGAAGCAAGAGGAATCTTGCATCCTGGCATGGTGTTACAGTGCCTGAACAGCCAGCTATTGATGATATCAACAGCAAATATTAACCGAGGGCTGAGCGGGGCACCGTGCTGGGTGCTGTGTACACCCGTGTCGTGCACTGATGTCCGCGTCCTGTTCTCCAATGAGCTGCTGCACACCCGGGTTCCAAGCACACACCCGGGTTCCTGCCAAGTGCTTATGGACAATATCTGCCCTTTGTAAAACCCCGAGAAGCAGGTATGTTTTTTCCACCTTATAGCTGTGGAAAATGGTCTAGGAGGTTAAGAGATGAGGTAGGGGAAGATGGGTCTGATAGTAAACTGTCCCCACCTACACTTTCTCTTTTCTTGGGAGAAGCAATTGTCAGTTGGAAAGAGAGGTGCCACCCTGACACTTTTTAAAGCTTGTTCCCATATTACTGTAGGGAAAGCTCATTGACACTGAAGCCCCTGAGCTGTGACGGTGCTGGCCGATTGTCACCCTGGGGTGCTACCCTCTGGGCAGCGAGCAAGCCTCGGGGAGGGAGGGCTGGCGGCCTGTGCTTGGAACCCAGGTGTGCAGCAGCTCATTGGAGAACAGGACGCGGACATCAGTGCACGACACCGGTGTGCACAGCACCCAGCATGGTGCCCCGCTCAGCCCTCGGTTAATATTTGCTGTTGATATCATCAATAGCTGGCTGTTCAGGCACTGTAACACCATGCCAGGATGCAAGATTCCTCTTGCTTCTAAAGGTGACAAGTGACATGTTAATTTCTCTTGAAAATGAGAGTTTCTTTTTTTCTGGAGGATTTTGATATCATTGGTAATGGCTGGAAAACCTGCATGGGAATCAGGTTGGAAGAAAAAGATATATATTTGATATGTATTGGAGAGGAAGATCTGTATCTGTGGTCTCTGTTCGGTGCTCTTGGTATATCCAGAGGGCGGAAGGAGCAACAGTGATCATTCAACAGTGATCATTCGCTCTGGAAACAAAAGAGGAGGCATAAACGCAGAGCATGCCCACTGTGTGACTCTATGGATACTCCTCAGTGAGCAAAGAGCTCTCTGTAGCCTTTGGGTTGGAGATAAATAGGCCGGCATTTGGTTGGGGCAGTGAGGCTGTGATGGGGTGAGCCGTGCCGAGGTCCCACCAGCCTGGGTCTCTGGACCAGCACTTCCCCATTTCTGGAAGGGGGAACTAGCCCCTGTCACCGGAAGTGGTTTGCTCCTGTTGGTTTCAGGATGACGAAGGAAGAGCAGCAGCCCTCTGGGCACGCCCTGTGCACGAGGACTGCCCCTGCACGGGGTGTGTGAGCAGCGCGGGGAGGTGGAGGCAGGACCGCAGGGGCTTGTCCGAGGGCTTGGCCAGGGCACCCTGGCGACCCTGAGGCTTCTGTTGCCAGGCCCACTGGGTAATGCAAGACTGTCTCCTCAGCTCAAGGTCTTGGATTAATCACGTCTGCAGGGCCCTTTTGCCGTGTCAGGCAGCACAGTCACAGGTCCTGAGGATCGGGACGTGGACATCTTTGGGGAGCCACACTCACTGACAGTGATAATAAACGCCAGTTCTTGAGAGTTTACCAAGTGTCACATATTCTTCTAAACTCTATTTTTATCTCATTGCCTCCTGAAACAGCCCTTTGAGGTGTGGATTGTCCCCATTTTTACAGACAAGACAAGTGAAGCTCAGAAAAACTAAGTGGCTTCTCCAAGTTAGTAGTGGAGCCAGGCTTCAACTAGGCATGTCTGACCCCAGAAACTGCGTGGCCTTCTGTGTTTCTTTAGCAAAAGGCAACTAAGGCTGAGAGGTGGAGGGACTTGACTAGGGGCACTGAGGCCATACAGCGGGACAGACATCGGGGCGCAGGTCTTCTGGCCCCAGCCCGTCTGGTCTCTGCACCCTTCCTGGTGTCGGCTGGCGTCTTTCGAGCACTTGCTTTGTGTTGGACGCCGTGCTAAGCACTTGACGTGCGCTGTCTTTGTTGCTCCGTGTGAAAACTCTCTAAGGCAGTGACCACCATTTCTCCCACCTTACAAGGCAGAAACTGAGGCTTAGGAAGGTTCTGTGACTGTCCTCGAAGTCTGAAGCTCGCGAGCGGAGGAGACGGGTGGCCACCCGCTGGCCGTCCTGTGCCATCAGTAGCGGCACCCTCCCCCGCCGCAGCCCACCCTCTGGCCAGGGCCCATCTCCACCCTCACTTGCCTCTTCCTCTGCCTTCCAGCTGCCGCGTGTAAGAAGTACGCGTCCAAGCTGAGGACCACGGTTTCCGCTCAGTCTCGCTTCCTCAGCACCTACGACGGGGCGGAGACGCTCTGCCTGGAGGACATATACACGGAGAACACGCTGGAGCTGCGGGCGGAGCTGGGCGTGGCCGGCCTCCCCGCCACGAGCCCGGCCACCCTGGGCCTGGAGGAGCTCTTCGGCACCCACAGCCGGCTCAACGAGGACGCGGACACCGTGCTGGTGGTGGGCGAGGCGGGCAGCGGCAAGAGCACGCTCCTGCAGCGGCTGCACTCGCTGTGGGCCGCGGGGCGGCACTTCCAGGAATTCCTCTTCGTCTTCCCGTTCAGCTGCCGGCAGCTGCAGTGTGTGGCCAGGCCGCTGTCCGTGCAGACGCTGCTCTTCGAACACTGCTGTTGGCCGGACGCTGGCGGGCAGGACATCTTCCAGTTCCTCCTTGACCACCCGGACCGCGTCCTGTTAACCTTTGATGGCTTTGATGAGTTCAGGTTCAGGTTCACGGACGGCGAACGTCACTGCTCGCCAACCGACCCCACATCTGTGCAGAGCCTGCTCTTCAACCTCCTGCAGGGCAACCTGCTCAAGGGCGCCCGCAAGGTGCTGACCAGCCGCCCGGCGGCCGTGTCGGCGTTCCTCAGGAAGTACGTCCGCACGGAGTTCAGCCTCAAGGGCTTCTCGCAGGAGGGCATCGAGCTGTACCTGAGGAGGTGCCACCGTGAGCCTGGCGTGGCCGAACGCCTCATCCGCCTGCTCCGGGCGACCTCAGCCCTGCACGGTTTGTGCCACCTTCCCGTCTTCTCGTGGATGGTGTCCAAGTGCCACCAGGAACTGTTGCTGCAGGTAGGGGGCTCCCCGAAGACCACCACGGATATGTACCTGCTGATCCTGCAGCATTTCCTGCTGCGCGCCTCCCCGCCAGACGCAGCCTCCCGCGGTCTGGACCCTGGCCTCCTTCGAGGCAGGCTGCCCACCCTCCTGCGCCTCGGCTGGCTGGCCCTCTGGGGCCTGGGCACGTGCTGCTACGTGTTCTCAGCGCAGCAGCTGCAGGCAGCACGGGTCGACTCTGACGACGTTGCTCTCGGCTTCCTGGTGCGTGCCCAGAGTGTCGCGCCTGGGAGCTCGGCGAACCTGGAGTTCCTGCACATCACCTTCCAGTGCTTTTTTGCTGCGCTCTACCTGGCGCTCAGCCCTGACACGCCGCCAGCCTCACTCAGACACCTTTTCAACTGCCGCAGGCCGGGCAGCTCACCGCTGGCCAGGCTGCTGCCCGTGCTGTGTGTCCAGGGCTCGGGGCGCCAGGAGGACGGTGTGGAGGCTTTGCTGCAGAAGGCCGAGCCACACAACCTTCAGATCACGGCAGCCTTCCTGGCAGGGCTGTTGTCCCGGCAGCACCGCGGCCTGCTGGCTGCGTGCCAGGTGTCCGAGACGGCCCTGCTCCGGCGCCAGGCCTGTGCCCGCTGGTGCCTGGCCCGCAGCCTCCGCAAGCACTTCCACTCCATCCCGCCAGCCGTGCCGGGTGAGGCCAAGAGCATGCACGCCCTGCCCGGCTTTGTCTGGCTCATCCGGAGCCTGTACGAGATGCAGGAAGAGCGGCTGGCACGTGAGGCTGTGCGCCGGCTGGACGTGGGGCACCTCAAGCTGACGTTCTGCAGCGTGGGCCCCGCTGAGTGTGCTGCCCTGGCCTTCGTGCTGCAGCACCTCCGGCGGCCTGTGGCCTTGCAGCTGGACTACAACTCCGTGGGTGACATCGGCGTGGAGCAGCTGGTGCCCTGCCTTGGCGTCTGCAAGGCTCTGTAGTAAGTGTTGCTGGGCACTGTTGGCCGGGCACGGGGCACTGCCACCACCAAGGTTACGCGTGGAGCACCAAGCTGCAGTCCGGAAGTCTAGGCCCAGCCCCGGCTCCGCCTCCCTTCCGCACAGCCCTGGCCAGAGCCCGTCCCCTCCGGGCCTTAGTGTCAGTATATCGTCACGACAGCCCCACTTTATTGAGTGGCCTGTGTGCCAGGCACGGTGCAGCACTTCCCACAGTTACCTTATCCAGCCTCCACAGCCACCCCGGGCTGCAGCCAGGGACAACAGGATCTCCATTAACCTTGATTTGAGGCTTACAGAAGTGAAGTCACTTGTCCAGGTCACGCAGGAAATGGCAGAGCCGGCTTCACAATCCACGCTTTCTAGTGCAGGCCCCTGCTCCTCTGAGCGAGCTGCCCGCAGCTTCAGAGGCTCTGGAAACCTTGGGGCCACGTGCAAAGCTCTGTGTGACAGGTGTCTGCTAGAACCGCCCCGGTCAGGGGCGACTTGTGCCTCCTCAGAGGCTTTCCCATCTATCTCAACAAGACGGGAATTTCAGGACCCAAGAGGTAAAAAGTGGCTGCAGCGCTTTGTCCACGCTTTTAGTCTAGATGTCAGCGTTCAAGCGGGATTTTGGCATTTCCCACACTGCTCTCAGCCCCTGGCTGAAGATGCGAGGCTTTGCCCTTGGACCGCCTGTGTCCCTGAAGCCCTGGGCCTCTTTCCATGTCTGGGGACAGGTGAGGGCACAGGGTGTGTCTCAGGCTCCCCGACTTCCTTTCCAGCTTTTTTTTTTTTTTTTTTTTTTTGAGACAGAGTCTCACTCTGTTGCCCAGGCTAGAGTGAGTGCCGTGGCGTCAGCCTAGCTCACAGCAACCTCAAACTCCTGGGCTCAAGCCATCCTTCTGCCTCAGCTTCCTGAGTAGCTGGGACTACAGGCATGCGCCACCTTGTCCAGCTAATTTTTTTATATATATATTTTTAGTTGGCCAATTAATTTCCTTCTGTTTTTAGTAGAGACAGGGTCTTGCTCTCGCTCAGACTGGTTTTGAACTCCTGACCTTGAGCGATCCCCCCACCTCAGCCTTCCCGAGTGCTAGGATTACAGGTGTGAGCCACCGTGCCCGGCCCCTTTCCAGCTTTGAAAGGGATGTCCTGTTCCCTGTGTAGAACCTACGGGAAAGCAGAAGTTGTTGATTCAAATTCAAATCCTTTTGCAGCCTCCTGAGGCTTTGGGCTACCCCAGATGACCTTAATTGACCCTAAGCAAGGGATGAGCCTCTCCTTGAATATATTAGGATGGTATGTCTTGGGCAAAGCAGCAAGATGTTTCTTTCTCCAGGGAACAAACACATGGATATCTGCTAGGAACTGTGCAGTGACGTTGGTTAGCCCTCACACAGGGACCGTGGCCATAGGTTTATAATGTAATGATAATGTTATATATAACATATTATACATAGTTAACATATGTAATATGTGTATTTTATGTAATTAATATGAATACGAATATGAACATACCCATCAGGGTCTTGGAGGAAACAAATACCACACCCAAACTGGGTAATTTGAGGTGAGTTTAATAAAGACTCAGTTTGCCAAGGTGGACAGGAGTTAGGAAGAGCTGGAGGGGGTCCAGGAACCTGGGGTTAGTAAGTGTTGGTGTTGGGGGACTGTGGGTAGCCCTGAGGGGCAGGGGGAGGACTTGTGAGGGAGGAAGATGTGGAGAGAGCTGCATTTCCCTAGGAAGGAAGAATCCTGAAATGTTGAGTGGGAATTTGGAGGCCTGTCTGTTGGAGTTATTTCCCTGATAGAAATACCAATGTGCCTTTTCCTGGGTAGTAGACCCATAGATATTCCCAGGTTCTCAAAGGGGTCCTTGAACCCTAAGAGGCCAGGCATCACTGTCTCCATGTCTAGATGATCCCATAGACTAGTCCATCCCTAGAATTCTTGAATGGAACTTCCCTTCTCAATTAGGGATGTCCACATGCCTCCCCGGGTTTGCAGAAGGGCTGGGGGAGACTGGGGGTCTGTCTCTATCTTCAGAGAAAGGTGAGGATGGCCTGGTTCTAGCTCTCAGGGTACGCACACTACAGTACCGTGTGTAAAGGTGCTTGTTGGAATGCAGATTCCTGGGCCCAGCCTTAGTGATCCCCATTCAGTAGGTTGGGGACAGGGACCTAGGAATCTGTATTTTTAACAAACATCCCTGGTGATTCTGATGCAGGTGGGTTCACACTGTGAGAGCTACGGTCTGCAGCAACCAGCTTGATTTCCCATCAGCAATCAAAGTCCTTGAGCAAGTTCCCCTGCTCTTTAGCTTTCGTACACTAAATGAAGTTGCTGCATGGGCATTGTGTGTGTCTGTGTGTGTGTGTGTGTGTGTGTGTGTGTGATAGAGACAGAGAGATGGGGGGAGGGAGGGAAAGACGGAGGAGGGGAAAGGAGGGAGGGAGGGGACAGGCTCCCCTCCCACAGCACCAAGCTGTATCTCTCCCACTTGAAGGGTTTCCATGCCAACCAAAATCCCTCTAGGAAACCCCATATACAAAGTGCCCCTATATAGGTTTCTTTAGATCCTGGCTCTCTCTGACTTTAGGGCGATGGCTTTCAAAGTTTTCTGACTGTGACTCACAGTAAGAGAGAGAGAGAGAGAGAGAGAGAGAGAGAGAGAGAAAGAGAAAGGCACACCAGCATGTAAACTTGAAACAAAAGCTTCACGAAATGACTTTCCCATATTAACTCTGATACACTCTGCTGTCTTCTTCTGTTCTGTACTATTTCAGTTTAAAAAATGCTTCTCAGAACCTTCAAAATTGGTTTCATGACCCACTAACTGGTCACACAACCAGCAGTCTGAAAATCACTGCTCTAGAGAGCCTATAAAAGGCATAAGGGAGAGGCTGTGTGGTGTTGTGATTTTGAGTGTGATTTGGAGCCAGACTGCCTAGGCTCAAATCCTGTATGCAACACAAATCAGTAGCATTTCTACATACCAGTAACAGTCAAGCTGAGAGTCAAATCAGAGACTCAATACTATTCACAACAGCTACAAAGAAAATAAAATACCTAGGAATATACTTAACCAAGGAGGCGAAAGATCTCTACCAGAACTACGAAACATGGAGGAAAGAAATTGTGGATGACACAAGCAAATGGAGAAACATACCATGCTCATGGATCAGTAAAATTAATATTGTTAAAATATCCATACTACCCAAAGTGATTTAGAGATTCAATGCAATCTCCATCAAATACCAACGGCATGTTTCACAGATCTAGGAAAAATAATTCTACACATCATTTGGAACCAGAAAAGAATCCAAAACATCAAAGCAATCCTAAGCAAAAAGAACAAAGCTGGAGGCATCACATTACTAGACTTCAAACTACACTGCAAAGCTATAGTAACCAAAACAGCTTGGTATTGGTACAAAACTAGAGACATAGACCAATGGAACAGAACAGAGAACCCAGATATAAAGTTAAAATCACAATGAGACTAGAATGGCTTTTATTAAAAAGTCCAAAAACAATAGATGCTGTTGTGGATGCAGAGGGAAAGGAATGCTTATACACTGTTGGTGGGACTGCAAATTAGTACAACCCCTATGGAAAACAGTATGGAGATTTCTTAAAGAACTAAAAGTAGACCTACTATTTGATCCAGCAATCCTACTACTGGTTATCTACCCAAAGGAAAAGGAGCAGTTTTATCAAAAAGACACCTGCACTTGAATGCTTATTGCAGCACAATTCACAATAGCAAAGATCTGGAATCAACTTAAATGACCATCAATCCATGAGTGGATTAACGAAATGTGGGATAGTATACCATGGTGTACTACTCAGCTGTAAGAAAGGATGAATTAATGCCTTTTGCAGAAATTTGGAAGGAACTGGAGACCATTATCTTAATTGAAATATCTCAAGAGTGGAAAAACAAACACCACATGTACTCTTTAATAAATTGGAACTAACCGATGGGCACACAAGTGCACAGAGGAAAGTAAAAGTCATTGGAAATCAAGCAGGGGGAGGAGGAGGAGGGGAAGGGCAAAACCCACCTAGTGGGCACAGTGAACGCTATCTAGGTGATGGGCACATTTATAGCCCGATCTCAAGCCATATATCAAAAACATCTGTACCCCCTTAATATTTTAGAAACAGGCCGGACGAGGTTGCTCAGGCCTGTAATCCTAGCACTCTGGGAGGCCGAGGCAGGCGGATCACTCAAAACCAGCCTGAGCATGAGGGAGACCCCGTCTCTACTAAAAATAGAAAGAAATTAATTGGCTAACTAAAATATATATAAAAAATTAGCCAGGCATGGTGGCACATGCCTGTAGTTTCAGCTACATGGGAGGCTGAGGCAGAAGGATTGCTTGAGTCCAGGAGTTTGTGGTTGCTGTGAGCTAGGCTGATGCACGGCACTCTAGCCCGGGTAAGAGAGTGAGACTCTGTCTCAAAAAAAAGAATTTTTTTTTGGAAACAAAAACAATTCTGTATGTGCTGTGCAACCTTGGCAAACTCACTTCACTTGTCTGTGCCTCAGTTTCGTTCTCTCTAGTGAATGTAACAAAACTACCTGCTTCATGGGCTTGTTGTGAGGATTAAATAATGTCATTACTGGGAAGTGCTCAGGATAGCACTGGGCACATAAAACGCTCCGTGAATGCCAGTGGTCATGCCTGCAGGTGACTTTGACCATGCGCCAGGTGCTCACAGGGCTTTATGTGCGCAGTCCGGTGAGGTGGGGGATGCTACTTTTCCCTTTTGTAGGTGGCGGGGCCAGCGAATAGCTAGTAAGTGGCAGATCGGGATCAGAACTTCCAGCTAAGGGACTGCAGAGCCTGAGCTGTCAGCCACTGCGCCTGTCTTCAGGTTTGCCTGAAGATAAAGAGTCATGCGTACAGTTGTTAAAATGTACAGATCCCGGGCCCAGCCCCACACATAAGGAATTGCCAGCTCCAGGGGAGGGACCTGTGAATCTGTATTTTGGGGAAACTTTCAGATGATCGTGTGATCAGGTCAAGTTTGGGAATTATACCCAAGAGGGATGTTAGAGGGGGCTTGTCAGGCAGGGTCTGGCCTGTAGGAGTGGTGTCTTTGGGTTAAGGACTGGGCATGCTGGTTTCCAGAGTTTTGGCCACTCTTTACTGGGTCTGCCATCTGCTGGCCTAGGTGCTGATAACCACCGTTGCCCCCAGGGGCAGCGTGTCTCGTTCCGGTTGCACCTGTGCCACCCATCAGCTCCTTTCCACCTGGACCGCTCAGTGAGGATGCTGTGATCATCGTTTTCCTTTTACAGAGGTGGAAACAGTGCCTCAGATTGTACCTGTGAGTTCCTCAGGCTTCCAGTGTTCTTTAATAGGCGCTCTGGGTCCCCACTTCCTGGGCTGTCCCCACCAAAGTGCACCAGGTCACCTCCCTGGCCAGGGATGGAGGAGTCTCCACTTTCCTGGGACGCTCCATTCCCGTGGCAGGTCCCGAAGCACACGCACCGGCACGCTGGGCATGAGTGGAAGTGTCGTTTGGGATTTTGTGTGCTCTTTCCTGTCTCATCAGCTCCATTTTCAAATATGTTTGTTTTGTCTTTTTTAGTTTGCGAGATAACAACATCTCAGACCGAGGCATCTGCACGCTCATCGAGCACGTTCTTCACTGCGAGCGGCTGCAGAAGTTAGCGTAAGTCGGCCTGGGCCGGGGCCTTGGGCCCCAGGGCCCCCAGTCTCGCCCCAGGCCTGCCGCCTGGGCACTGTGAGAGAATGACGGCCGGGTGGGTGTTTGGTGACCGAGGGTCCAGGTGGCTCCTGCCCTGGGGAGCGGGCAGCCTGTGGTCGCGCTCACTACGTGACGTGCCGCGTCTCCGTGTCTCTTCTCGCTGGAACGTCGCAGTCTGTTCAACAACAAACTGACGGATGGCTGTGCCCACGCCGTGGCCAGGCTCCTTGCGTGCAGGAGGAACTTCCTGGCATTGAGGTGAGCCTGGGGCTTCCCCGTTTCCTGGAAACTACTTTTTCCCCACGGTGAGTCAGTCTGGTCTGGTCTTGGCCCTGGCCCTGCCCACACTGGGCTGGTGATCTCTGGACTCAACACAGGGCAAGTGTCCCATTGCGAGCACATTTCTGTGACCCTGCCACCTCCCCCGCCAGCACCAGACTGCTCTGCTGAGGGCTTCCCACCTTTGGATCTTTAGCCCTCAGGGCAAAGAAGTGTTGCCAGGCCCTTTTCCTTCCCTGCGTCTAAGAGCGCATCAGCTGGGGAGGCATCCGCAGTCACTTGCCGCCCCAGCCGTGGCAGCCAGTTGCTGAAATACTCCGGAAGCTTTCCCCACTTGGAGCATGCCAGGCGTGCACTCCCTCTGGGAAGTCTCCGTTTCTGCTGCTCCTGAGCCTCCCGGCCTCAACTAGAGTCTCCCCTGACACCATGACATTGCCCCTCCCGCCAGTTCCCAGGCTGGCCGGGCTTCTCTGTCTCTTGGACATTCCTGCCTCCTGGATTGTGAGGCAGTGAAAGGAGACAGAGCGAAGGTTTGCCTCCACCCATCCTTTCTGCCTGGGGGGCTGCCTTTAGGGATGGGAGCTGCCATTTTATAATTGCTGGCCAGTCGCTCAGTCTCGGCAAGGGCTCAGGAGGCCAAGACCACAGGTGCCGATTGTACAAAGCACTCTGTCTGCCGCCACCACGGCTGCCCAGACCCACAAAGCTGGAAGAGGCTGTGGCCCTCCCTGGGCTGGTCCGTCCCTTCAGAAGGGCGCTGGACTCAGAACTGGAGGCCTGGCTTTGTGGCCAACAGCGTAGTCTCCCCTCATCTGCAGGGGAGACGCTCCGAGCCCCCCGTGGGCACCTGACACTGCAGATAGTACCGAACTCTATGTATATTATGCTTTTCCCTGCATATGCATACCTATGAAAGGTTTAGTTTATAAATTAGGCCCAGTAAGAGATTAACAGCAATAACTAATAATAAAATAGAACAAATGCAACACTATACTGTGATCAAAGTTACGTGAATGTGGTCTTTCTCTTTCTCAAAATATCTCACTGTACTGTGCTCACCCTTCTTGTGGTGACGAGAGAGAAGATAAAACTCCCGTGTGCTGGGTGAGGGGGGTGAGTGACTTGGGCGCTGTGATGTAGTGGATCATCCGTGTCCGGCGGTCCATGACAATGCTGGCAGTTGGGTGTCAGAAGTGGACGGTGTCAGGGAGCTGCACTACGTGGGCATGCTGGGCCACAGGAGGACGCCTGTCCTGAGTGGGACACAGTAGGGTATGGGGTGGCCCGTGATCAGAACAGCGTGCAATTTAAAACCTACGTATTGTGTGTTTCCTGAATTTTCCGTTTAATATTTTTGGATTGAGGTCATAAGCAAGCAACCGAAATCATGGAAAGCAAAACCGCAGATAAGGGGGGCTGCTGCACCTTGTTGCAGGTGGGGTGGGCTCTGAGCCATCCGCTAGCAGGGTGTCTCCTGTCTCAGTGAGCCTGCGGGAGGGGCCCTGGCGCGGCACCCGCAGTGAGATTCCGGTGCCCGGCAGCCAGCAGCCGGCCCTTAGTTTCTTCCCGGGAGCTGAGGGTGGGGACTGAGGGGCGAGGCCCATGCCGCCACACGCCCGCTGGAAGGGCACAATGATGCCTGCCCAACACGGTTGTCGTGAGCCGGGCAGCTTAAAGTTCTTTGTAAAGGTTCAAGCAGGCGTGTTATTATTCCAGGAACCCTGGGGTTGTGGGTGTGAGTTATGGGGACTTCTTTGAAAGTGTCTGTCTGGATTTGGGTGCGGCTGGAACTTCCCTTGCTGGGGTCCTCCCCCATCCCCAGTCTTGGCTCTGTCTCCCTCCCTGACTCCGGGAAGGCTCAGCGGGAACCCCTCCTTTCTCCCAGCCGCTGGGCTGCCTGGCCTCTTGCGGATCCCCAGGCCCTGGTACAGCAGCAGTGGGTCTGGGAAGGCTGTGGCCGGGTCTAGACCAAAGGTGGCCCAGACTGGAGGGAAAGGTGTGACAGTGAGTCACCCTCACTCCCTGGGGAAACCACCTCCCAGGACAGCGGCCCATTGTGGCTCCTGCCAGACCTGTCACACTGCTTTGCAGAACAGCTCCCCACCCCTCCCTTGGCGGAGAACGAAGGGTGGGAGCCACTGAGCAAGCGTGACCACGCGGGAGCCACACACGCTGCGGCTGCTGCGTCCTGAGGGTCCTCCAAGCTTTCTTCCTGCGTCCCCCACCAGGGCACTGGTGGTTCTCTTCTCCTGGCCTCACCTGTGCTCTCTCAGCCTCTCTGTCTCGTCTTCCAGGCTGGGGAATAACCACATCACCGCCGCCGGGGCCCGGACGCTGGCCGAGGGGCTCCGAGGCAATGCCTCGCTGCAGTTCCTGGGGTAGGTCCGATCTCGCGGAAGAGGGACCTGCACAGAGGGGTTGAGACTTGAGGATTTAGGGGTTTATGAAACTCTTCAGCCAGGAGGCCCCAGAGGTGGCCTGGGTGACAGTGGGGAGGTGGGGTGGGCCAGCCAGGGAGAGGGCGGCCCCTGGCTGCCTCACACTTGCTTCCTCACCTGAAAAACAGGAAGTTCAGGATGGCGGGCGGGGGAGGGCAGTGCCCTGAACTGGTGACAGGAAGCCTCTGTCCTGGGGTGCCTGGGGCTGTGCTGTGGCTGCACACTGAAGCCACTCCGGAGACTGATGAGGTGAAAATATCTAGGTGCAGTCCAGATATCAGTCATTTTAAATAGGCCCCCAGGGCATGTGCAGCCAGGGCTGGGAGCCACTGGCCCAGGACAGGCGGGGCTGTTCCCCCGCACTGCAGGGCAGCCTCTGCTTGCCCCATACATAGTGTGACGGCCACCCAGGGTTGCACTCCCACTGTCCCCAGCAGCCACTCTCCTATCCTGTCATGCCCTGGTGTGAACTGGGGTCCATTTGACAAGAACTGGGGGTTTTAAAACCTGAGACTGTAGGAAGAGAGAACAACCTTAGGACCCAGATGCTACAGCCCATTTCGTAGACGAGCAAGCTGCCCACAAGCTCAGTTTGAGCCAGGAATGGGACTGGGTTGCTCTAGAAAGCAGCACCTTTTCCATGCTGCGCCAATAGCAGCAGAGTCTAGAACGAGGAGCCACAGGCCCACCGAGCTCTCTGCTGCCTGAGGTCACATCCGCCACAGCTGGGGCATTTACTTCCCTTCCAACACATATTTCTTAGGGCGCCTGTCTGGGCCAGTGCTAAACCAACACTATCATATGATACGAACTGTTCTGTAACTTGCTTTGTTTTATTTCATTTCATGTTTTGCTTCATACTATATAATAGGACTTTTTTCGGGTCATCATGACCTCGTTTTTAACCACTTCGGTGCGGCGCTCACGGCTGGGACACCTCGCCCACAGCCGCACGCACAGCCGCACGGCGGTCTGCGCTGCGCGTTGACGGCGGGTCCGTCTTGCTCTTGTGTGACGAGGAAAGCTTGGAAGCACTGACAGCGGTTTCACTCCACAGGCAGCTTTCCTTGTCATGTAAATCAGAATAGGTAACATGTACACGTATGTTTTCATTAGGTTATTTTTTAAATGTTCACAATTTTCTTTTGATAAATGAAAGATTAGAAAAGTCAATCCAAAGTTATATTCCAAAGTTGACGCTGGGCTGTGCGCTGGGCTGTGCGAGTCCATCTGTGGCTGTCGACTACAGTCGATCCTCATACTGAATTGCTGCTCCTCAAAAGAAGAGCTGCATAGTGTTCTACTGGTTAGATATCCATAATCTATTTAACTGGTCACCTGTTGATACGTGCTCGGGTTGTTGCAAGTTTTTTGCTGTTTACAATGTTCCACCCCCAGCACAGAGCAGCACTGGCGTAGAGCCAGAACTCAACGAATATTCGCCTTGTGAGTGAAAGTGGAGCCAACCTCCTAGTCCAGCTGTCTTTGCTCCCTTGAGCCACACGTGTCCAGAGTAAGGCCCAGTGGGGACAGTGGCTGGGTCAGACAGCATGAGCTGGGCTCTAACTTTTGAAAAGGGAGGCTTCCAAATTACAGTGATTCAGAGGAGTTTGGCCCAGCAGGTAACGGAGTTCAAGACCACGAGGGGCGTTGAGAAGTAACAAGAGATGAAGGCTGGCTTGGGGAAGAAGTGTTGGACTCGTTCTGAGTGGGCAGCAGCAGAGTACAGCTAAGGACTTGTAGGTAGAGTTACCAGGAAGAGATCTGAACTAAATGTCAGGAAAAGTGTCACAGCTGTGTGACTTGCTCTTGAGATCAAGCTCCCCCTCCGTGAGGGGAAGGGTTAGGTGGGTTTGTGCTATTCTGTAAGTCTGTAATTTAAAGCTGCTGAAAACCCTGGGTGAAGTTTGGCCAACCCACCAAAAGATGGAGGGAGGTCTATTTTGCTGGGTCCAGGTGCCCGGGTGAGACCTCTCTGGGATTGGGTGGTCCTGCCCCTCTGGCTGGGGCTGCAGCTCTAATATATTAGAGCATATCTAGAACACATATCAGGTAGTCACTCACTAACACTCTCTGTGGACTCTCGTGGCCTTTACAGGTTCTGGGGCAACAAAGTGGGTGATGAGGGGGCCCAGGCCCTAGCTGAAGCCATAAGTGATCACCAGAGCTTGAAGTGGCTCAGGTAAGCTTCCGAGGCTGTCCAGCCGTTGTCACAGGGAGAGCCAGGTGAAGGGAGAGTAGCTTGGGCCAGTTTTAAAGGTCTTTGAACTTCATTTCTGCCTCACTTTGTCAGGCAGTAGAGTAAGGAAGGAAGACAGATCACTGGATTTGGAATCAGGACACTTGGGTCTTTCTGGGTGACTTTGGAGATGTCCCTTGCCTTCTGAGGGTCTTGATTACCCATCTGTAAATTGAAGATCTTGGGCTGGATCAAGCACCTCTTATCTTAAGGACCAACTCCAATCCACTGGTAGTAGCTGCCCAGTGCTCCATGTTGAGAAGGATTCCAGGGCTGCTCCTGGGCTTAAAGAACACTGTAATCAACTAGTGATGTCTTGGTCAGGCACAGTGCTCACACCTGTGATCCCAGCACTTTGGGAGGCCAGGGTGGGTGGATTGCTTGAGGCCAGGAGTTCAAGACCAGTCTGGGCAACAGTATAGCAAAACCTCATCTCTACAAAAACTAAAAAAAAAAAAAAAATAGCTAGGGTGGTGGTGCATGCCTGTGGTTGCAACTACTTGGGAGGCTAAAGGTGACAGGATCACTTGAGCATAGGAGTTTGAGGTTGCAGTGAGCTATGACAATGCCATTGCATCTACCCAGGTAACAGAGTAACATTCTGTCTCAAAAAAAAAAAAAATTAGTGATGGCTAAAAAAGATGTACAAAAAGAGCACTGTAATCAATTAGCGATGTCTGAAATGGAACAGACTAGGAGACTGCCACGTATTTGCTGTTTACGTTAGCTTGTCGCTGAGGGCTCTAACATGTTTTTATCCCATGATTACATCCAGCCTGGTGGGGAACAATATTGGCAGTGCGGGTGCCCAAGCCCTGGCACTGATGCTGGAAAAGAACTCCGCACTGGAAGAGCTCTGGTGAGTTTGGGGGATTCCTTGCTCCGGAGGCAGGTGACGGCCCTTCTCGATTCCCTGGCCTCAGCCATCAGAGTGGCTGTGTGGACGAGACCGAGGGGGATGCCTGGACAATTGATTGATCGTGCTTGTCGTTATGTGCACTAAGTGGCATGAAGCTTATAGAGCATGGCATATGGGTGCTATTTCTCTTTATTTAATTAAATGTATTGGCTTGCTGCTAGTGCCTCCGCATGGCATGATGGTTAAGGACACAGACTCTGGAATCAAGCAGGCTGTGATCTTAGGCAGGTTAAATAGCAATCTGTGAATCTTAGGTTTCACACCTGTAAAATGAAGGTAAGAATGTTTCCAACTATAGAAGATTTTCATGAGATCTAAGTAAGGTAATACCTGTGAAGAGTACACTAGAGTGCCTGGCATGTGTAAGTGCTCGCCATAGATGTTAAATTGTAACAGCGGCAGGGTTACTGCTACTATTACTGCTGCTTCTACTGCTGCTACTAGTACTATGACTACTAGTACTAGTAAAGTTTTGTCATTTTGAAGTGAATTTGAATTCCTAAGAACATGGGGTATTGGAGTCAGGGATCACTTTGGAAGGTGGAATGGAGTTTGGGATAACTGAAAGGTGAACCATCAAGCATCCTTGTATGTTGATCTGAAGCTTATTCCAAGTTTTCCATCCTTTAGGTGCTACTAGTACAGTCTTCTGACATGTCTGGGCATTCCAGATCACATCAGGGAGATAAAGTGCTGAACGATCAATTTTTCCAAGAGGCAGAAAAGCACCAAAACATGGGCATTGCCACAGACAGATACTGTGGGTGGACCTTGGGTGGGCAGGACCCACTGGCTGTATTCAGTGCCATTGATTATATCCTGATTGGATTTTGCCACTTGGAATTTCTAGTAGAGGAGCACTTCCCTGTGAGGGCATTAGACACGACCACTGTTACAAGGCAAACTTTAGACAAATGAAATTTAGCAGAGTTGGTTTGAGCGTGGAGTGATTCACGAATCAGGCAGCACTCGACCAGTAGAGGTTCAGAGAGCTTCACTCAGCAATATGGACAGGCAGCATGTATAGACAGACAAAGGAAGTGCTGTACCGAAACAGCTGGATGGGTTACAGCTGGGCATTTGCCCTATCTGGTCATGGTGTGATGAGGCATTTGCCTTATATGGACATAGTCTGACGCTTGGCAGGCTGTGATTGGCTGAAGCCTGGTTTCTGTGACTGGCTGAGACTCAGCTATTTGTTATAAGGCTATATTCTTACATTAGGTTGCAGTTTGTTTACATGCTAAGTTGGGTTGCAGTTTGCCACATGGGAACTCAGAGTATGGCGGCAGCCTCAGGCCAAATTTAGTTTAATTGAACACTCCATTAGGCTGCCCATGATGGAAGACCTCCATCTACAGAGGCTTAATCCAGGAAAAGGTTTATTTTTTCATGCACAGGTAGTCTGGAGGTGGGTGGTGTAGGGCTGGTATGGTGGCTACAGGAGGCCAGCAGTGGCCTCGGCTGTCTCTTTCTCCTTCTGCTCCACCATCCTCAGCCTGTGGCTTCGTCATCATGGTCGGTTGCTTTGTGATTGCAAGGTGGCTGCCCCACCCACAGCATTGCTCGCACGTTCCGGGATTCAGTCTATATACCCGGGAAGGGCAAAAGGCACTGACCAGCTGGGTTTCTCTCCTTTAAAAAGTATTCTCGGAAGCCCCACCTGTCAATGTCCCCTGTGTACCTGTGGCCAGGTGTTTGTCACTTGCCAACTCTGGCTGCAGGGGAGAGTGGGAAAGGAAGTTTTCTCACCAGGCGAATGGCTGCCCCAAACGAAGTGAGGCCCCCACTAATTAAGAAGGAAGGGAAAATGGATATTGGGTAGCTGGGGCTGGAGGGAACTTATTATAGAAAAGAACCCTGGAGTGAATTCTCATGCAAAGATGTCTCTGGAACTTTGTTTTTACTTTTTCCATAAGTTTGGATTTTCAGTTGTTGGATTTTCTAATGGGTGGGGGGCATATGGGTGAACCTTTATTGGCATCAACGTCCATAACAAATGTCATCATATCAGCTGGATTTTCTCTCTTGTTCTTGCCAGCCTGGAGGAGAACCGTCTCCAGGATGAAGGTGTGTGTTCTCTCGCGGAAGGACTGAAGAGAAATTCCAGTCTGAAAGTCCTGAAGTAAGGAGCCCGCCAGAGGGAGCGGGGACAGCAGTGGCTGGCCTGGGGAAGGCGTTTCTGCTCAGAGATTTGGGCGGCTTCCCGGCCGGGTCACTGGCACGAGCTGGCCTGGCAGCAGACAGCCTCGTCTCGGTCTGGGTAGACAGGGATTCCAGGGCAGGCTGTGTGCTGGGGAGGTAGGTGGTCCCAGCAAACACGGGGTGAGTAGTGAAGTGAGGTCACTGAGGGAAGCTGACCTCAGAACTGCTGGGGCTCCAGGAGCCAGTGTAGGACACGCCTGGTTATCTCCCACCAAGGGGCAGGGGGCTGGTGTTCAGCGTGTGCGGAGCTGGGCTTGCGTGCCCTCCGGCCACCCCTGCATGGCTCAGCCTGCTGCCGGGTCGGGAGAGTGGCCTCAGGCGGAGCACGGCAGGTCTTCCACCGCAAACGGGGGCAGGGAGAGGGTAGGGGCCTGTGGCTTCCTAAGGTGGCACACTCAGTGGCCAGGGACCCATGCCACAGGAGATGGGCGGTGGATGTGAACGGAAGTCCAGCTAGTGACCGTCACGAGCTTGTGCCAGTGCTCTCTGGGGTTGGTGCCAAAGCCCCACCTCACAGGGGACTCAGGGAACCGCCGGATGGCACCGTTCGCTAAAGGAAGGTGGTGTCTTCCCTGAGGAACGTGGCCTGAGGGAAACACTTGCCTTCAGAGACAGTGTCTTCGAGCGCGTCAGCCTTGCTGCCAGACCGCCACCCTCTCTGGCGACGCTTGGTTGTGTTGCTTCGCGGGGCTGGAGGTTGGGACTGTCTGGGGAGAGCACTCCGCTCTCGCTCGGGTGGAAGCGGGCGGGGAGGTTGGGGTGCCGCCGGCGGTGTGGGCCGGATGCCGGCTTCGCACGCGGCCTTCGGGCCACTGTTGACCAGGTGTGGACGTGGTGGGCCTGCCTTTCCTCGCTGCCACGGACTCACCCGCGTGACCCCCGCAGGTGCCGGCAGTGGCACTGGGGTTGCCCACGCCATCTCGCCATCAGCCTTTTACCCAGCATCCTGCACTGTGTCATCCCCCACAAAAATTAAAGTTCTGACATATCTTTAAAAAATGAGAGAGAAAGAGAGAGAGATGCCCGCCATTTCTCCTTTCCAGGCTTAGAGCTGTCAGGAGTCCAGGCTCTAGGGCCAGGCAGTTGGGGTCTGCTCCCCAGCGCCACCCCTTCCAGCCATTTCTCCTTGGTCGAATGCCTCAGTTGCCTACAGTGTAAATGGACATAACACTTGGACCTTCCTCATAAGCTTGTGAACATTTACTGATAGAAAGTAGGTAACCAACTGGCACCTAGTAAAAGCTCTACAAATATTGCTATTATTAGTAGCAATGCCTTAGGGTCAACTTGGAAGAGTCTCTAAAATTGTGGGGGAGGGGAAGACAGGGAGAAGACATTGTCTAGAAGGCACAGCTGTAAGCCGAGGAGCACCCTGGGGCACGTGGCTCTTCCCTCGCTCTCCCTGACCCTGTCCCATCTCCCCTCCCCATTTCCAACCACCTCAGACTTCCTCTATTCTGTGTCCCCGCGCCCTCACAGCCCCGCAGATGGAAATATCCCTGTCCCTTGGTTATTCCCCACCAGTGCTACCGTGCCAGGTGCTTTCGCCATGCAGAGTGTGGAAAGTCTTCCCAGCAAGCAGGGGTGGGGGAGGAGTGGGAGGCACTGTGGCTTCCTCTGGTGGCGGACCCAGTGGCCAGGGACCTGTGCCATGAGGAGATGGATGGCAGATGCGAACAGCAGCCTGCCTAGTGGCCACCACAGGTATGAGTCTCATACTCCTCGAGGTGGATACTCTTTGGGGCCCGTTTGACCCATGAGGAAATTGAGGCTAATTTTCTGGAGATCAGAAAGGCAGTGGTATAGGTTGGATTTGAACCCACAAAGTTTGGCACTGAAATGTAGGTATTGAACCACTATGCCATAGCACCTCTCTAAGGAAGGGGCTACTTAATTAGATAAACTAATCTGAATGGAAGAGAAAAGGGTGCATTTTGCTTATAGCCTCGCACCTTTGTTGATGAGCTCATTGGGAATCTCAGACAGGAGAGGGGCGTGTCTCGGGGACTGATGGGCTCCAGTAGGCTGGCTTCTGAAGCCTCCTTTATTTTTTTATTTTTTGAGACAGAGTCTCGCTTTGTTGCCCAGGCTAGAGTGAGTGCCGTGGCATCAGCCTGGCTCACAGCAACCTCAAACTCCTGGACTCAAGCGATCCTTCTGCCTCAGCCTCCCGAGTAGCTGGGACTACAGGCATGCGCCACCATGCCTGGCTAATTTTTTCTATATATATCAGTCGGCCAATTAATTTCTTTCTGTTTATAGTAGAGACAGGGTCTCCCTCTTGCTCAGGCTTGTTTCGAACTCCTGACCTCGAGCAATCCTCCCGCCCCGGCCTCCCAGAGTGCTAGGATTACAGGCGTGAGCCACCGCGCCCGGGCTGAAGCCTCCTTTGATCAGATGTTCTCAAGAGGAAAACCAAGAGTCCCAGAAGCTCACCAGTCCATTTTCTTTGCAGGCTGTCCAACAACTGCATCAGCTCCCTGGGGGCAGAAGCCCTTCTGCAGGCCCTTGCAAGGAATGGCACCATCCTGGAAGTCTGGTAAGGCCCCTTGGCAGGCATATTCTACCTCTGTGGGCCTCAGTTTTCCCATCTGTCAAAGGGGGGAGGGGAGAGAAGGTCAGAATGTCAAAGATCCCTTCTGATTCTGACATTCAGTGTCATTCTGCACGTGGTGGCTCTAGTTGTTTGGGAAAGAAGACTTCACATCTCTAAGCATGGAGCAATGCTTTCATTTTAAAATCTTGTCTGCTTGTTCAAAACCTTCTCTATTCTAAGCAGTAGGGTAGGAATGGGGATGTGGTTAAGAATGAAAAGAAGGGAGAAGAACGCAGCTGCTGCCTTCGAGGCCCAGGATCCTGTGTCGGGCGCTCTGCAGTTCTGGGGGGAGGTCACGCAGCGTGGGGACTCTTGCTCACTGTGTCCAAGTCTAAACAATTAAAGCCATAGTCCTTTGTGTATTTGCAAAAGCATTGAGTCACAGCCTCCAAGTTTGTCCTCCTTGTTTCCAGGTATCTATTTGTCACTCAGACAATGAATAGAAAAGTGTCTGGTCTAACATGCTCTGTATGAATGTTACTGCATATATTCCAGATCCCGGGCCACATATCAGTATTTAAAAACTAGGAGATTTCCTATAAAAAATCTATATTTCAGGGTTTTCTCAGAAGAGCTGGCAACTCTGGACCCCCATTCACAACGCTAGTAGTTAACCAGCATAGAGGAAGGGACAGAGCCACCAAGCCACAGCCTTTGACCAGTCCCTTTAGATCTGTACCCCTTAGCTTGTGACCCCTGCTTTAGATGTGAGGCCTTGTCTCTCTCAACAAGCACATCAAGGTAGCGCAAGATATCAAGTGACAAAGCTAAAAACAAAAACTTCAAAAATCTGTCCCGGGATAGATTTTTCCTTCTGTATGATCATCTCATCCCTGTAGCCTGCGAGGTCGTCAGGTTCTGGGTAAAGTGTGGGTCCTTTTTCGTTTTTGAAACCATTGCACAGTCCTAAAAAATGTCACTTTCTGTGTCCGGGGAGCAAACCAGCCTCCGGTTGGTGTTTTAAGGGTTCTGATGTTGTTTGCTGCCGTTGATGGAGCCGGGAGGGCACCAGGACTCGCGCGCTGCATTCTCAGCAGATTCTGTTGTTGCCTTAAAAAGAATCCCTGGCCTTGGGGAGTCTGCGGCCGGCCGGGTCCAGGCCTGTGGACTGTGCCCCTGCAGAGTCCCGGAGCCTTGTTCATCATGCAGCATGATTCATGAGCTGCCCTGGTTGACAGAGGGTAAAACGGCACAGATGTCCCTCCCAGGGGCGCTGCAGCCGGGCCGAGGGGTCAGCCCGTCCCAGGCATGGGTTGAAAAGTGGCAGCTTCCGTTTGAAAGCGCTGCTCTAATTTTGTCCTCACTCAGCCCTCCCTTCACTTGATCTCCTTTAGGCTCCGAGGGAACACTTTCTCTCCAGAGGAAATTGAGACGCTCAGCCACAGGGACGGCAGACTCTTGCTTTGATGTCTCCAGGCGGACGCTCATCTCGGCTTGTTTGGGAGCGAGCCGTGGGCCCGGGCCCCAGCAGCTGGATGACATCTGACATCTGTTCACATCGGCTCCCTCCTGCCCAGGGCTGAATTCATGTTCGGGACACACCAGGTCACCTTTATTCTGGCACAGGAAGGAGCGTCAGTGCCCTTCAGAATAGACTTTCCCCGAGCCTGCTTTTGCCAGCGACTTCTCCCCAAGATTCAGTCCTGGGATGTATGAGAGGAGCAGCCCCTCCTCCGTAGCAAGGGGCTGGCCTCCCCTGACCCTCCAGGGTTCTGCCCTGGGTCAGCGGGGCCCACGGACATGCCTGTCAACTGAGTGTCTCTTGGTGTAGAGACCTGGCCTTGAATGAAAGACCCTCCCCCATTTCTCACGAAGAGAGGGGTATTCGGGAAGCATCTTTCCACCATGTGGACTCATGGACTGTCCATCCTGGCCATTCCCCACCTCTGGTTCCTCCACTCGTCCTGGGCTTGCACATGCTACTTCCTTTGAGGTTCAGAACGTCCGTGATCTCAGCTTTCACATTACACCACCTCAGCCCTGGCACCCCGGGCGGGAAGAGCTGCAACTTAGCCTGTTCTTCTTTCTGGTGCTTAAGATATCCTAGGAATGGGGACACGTGACAGCCATTTGCTCCCCGAAACATTCTGGATTTGCAAGAAAAATATGACCACACTCCAGCTGGTATCACACGTGGACTTTTCTTTCCAGTGAAATCAATTACTCTTCAGTTAAGCCTTTGGAAATGGCCCCGCTTTAAAAAGCTCCAAATGCAGCTTTTTAAAATTAATCTGGGCCAGAATTTCAAACGGCCCCCTAGGCTGCTGGTGTGTGCCTGTGAGCTGAACTCGGACAATAGACTTCTGAAATACATCTGTAAGAGACGGTCCATTTTATTTGTGCCGGAATGCTTTAGGTTATACAGTTATGGATTGAAAGTTTACAAGGGCAAAATCAGGCTCTTCCTTCTAAGCATGTGACTTTCTGGATTATTCAAAATGATGCATGTCGAAGCCTTTGTAAATTGTCAGGTGCTGTGCAAATGTTATTATTTTAAACATTATTATATGTGAAAACTGGTTAATATTTATGAACTACCTTGTTTTATTCTCCCAAGTTTATACTTTTATAGACAACATGACCATGAACTTTATGCTGTAAATAATCACAGAGGAATAAATTATGGAGTCACCACAGCCCTCTTCATTGTGACCAAACATTTTTAAATATTCCTAAAAGTTGTCAAATTTTAAAGCACAATTTTATGCTTGAAGGGGGGAAAATGATGTGTTCAACCAGATAATTTATTATCTAAGGCATATTATAATTTAAGGCAAGAGCAATTCTTAGAAATAACCTGGCAAGCAAAACACATTTGGCTTCAGCTTAGAAAAGTCTAGCCCAGCGTGAAGTTTCGAGTTGGGCAGGAGCCTCCCTCTGTTCTCTCCAGTGGCTCCGGGAGGCTTTAGTGGGACAGCGTGGTGTGGCTGTCCTCGCCAGCGGTCTGCGGTGCGGGCCTTGCATTGCAATCATTCTTAGCCACATTTAAGGAGCAAGGACTCAGGTGGCCCCTCACCAAAGTGAAACCCCACTTCCTTGAAAGGTCTTGTGTGCGTCGGGCGTCCCAGTGCCTCTGCGTCGCCTGCGTCTGCTCGCGTCTGTGGGTCCTCTTTGTTGCTGGTCTGTCTGCGCAGACCACTGTTTCTGGGACAGAAGATTGGGAGGGAGATGGAAGGGGTCTGCTTTCTCCAGGAGCAAACAGCGCCCGTTTGTTTGCATGGCACCGTATGGGGTTATAAATTCATCTTCCTTACATTCATTCGGCAACGACTGACCAGTTATGTCAGGAAAATCAGTGGATGGACACAACAGATGTTGTCCCTGTCCTCCAGGCACTTAGGAGCGGGTGGAGGGAGAGGCTGGCAGGAAACAAGTAAACTGAAAAATACGTTAAATAAGGTCTTCAGATTGTCGAGGGTTGGTCCAAGACAGGTTCTCTGAGGAGGTGCCAGGTAAGCTGTGTCCCCGGGGATGAGAAGGGGCTGGCCACGCGTAGGGGGAGGAAGGGAGCATTACCGTCACCAGCAATAAGCTGTACAAAGACCCTGATGTAGGAAAGAGTCTGATGTGCGTGGGAGGCTAAATAATGGCCCCCACAGATACCCAGATCTTAATCCCTGGGACCCGGGAATGTCACCTTGCATGGCGAAAGGGACTTTGCAAATGTGATTAAGGATCTTGAGCTGGGAAGACTACACTGGTTACATGGGTAGGCTCTAAATGCAATCACAGCGTCTTTATAAGAGAGAGGAAAGGACAATCTGACACAGGGGAAGGCAATGTGACCACTAACGCAAGACACTACACTGGGGGGTTTGAAGGGGCCGTGAGCCAAGGAATGCAGCTCCAGAAACTAGAAAGGGCAAGGAAACAGACTCTCCCCTAGAAGCTCTGGAGGGAACATGGCCTTGCCTGCCTTGGTTCCAGCCCATTTGGCCCTTCTAGCTCCCAGGACTATAAGACAATAATTTGTGTCATTTCCTACAGCTGTAGGAAACTAATAAGGTATGTTTTAGGCAAACTAAGGGAAGGGTGTCGCTAGATGGGTTTTCAGAGCTAAGTAGGACCAGCTCAGGAGGACCTGGTGGCCATGGTGCAGTTTGGTCTCGATCTTAGAATAATAGCCAGCCATCGGAGAGGTCTAAGCAGGGGAGATGCAACACAATTTACGGTTAAAGAAGATCTCCATGGCTCACGGCTGGAGATGGGGCTGGAGTACACAGGGGTGAGGGTGGGAAGCAGTGGAGAGACCACCCAGGAGCTGCTGCAGGGAGAGGCAGTTGGCAGCGGAGGGGAGAGAAGAAGGTGGATTCCAGAGACATCCTGGAGGTGGATTCCCAAGGACTTGCAGATGGATTGGACGAGAGGGATGAGGGGAAGGGGAAAACCCAGGATGACTCACAGACTTGGAGCTTGACTGACTGGGGCACTGGGGAAGGCAGGTAGGAACCAAGTGTGACAGTGAGGAGAATTCTGTTTTGGATTGTCAAGTTCGAAAGACATAAATGGAGAAGTCAAGTGGAGACGTTCAGTGGTGGTAGCAGTGTGCAGCCCATGGGCGAGGTCATGGCCAGAGATAACAGCTTGGGCAGCATCCTACACACGGAAATGAGAATGGGGCCCTTGAGCCTGGATGACATAACCCAGGGAGCGATTATAGATAGAGAAAGAAGAGGTCAAAGGGCCCAGGTGAGGGCGCTGAGATCTTGATATGTGATTACTGACAGAGCTCCGAGTAGGAGGAATTTCCTAACTTTCAAAAGTCCAGCAGATACCACCAAAAGCATCCCGAGCCTGGCAGATAACAAGTGAACTAGGATTCTTGATTTTAAGATTCTCTGATACGGAGGTCACCTGAAAGGTATGTACGTGCTCATGGCCAGTGGCTTAGCCAGGAGCAGACAGATTCCAGTTTTGTGGCTAAAAATACATAATTCTTATGCACAAAAAACCACGGTATTAGAGCAGGAGAATTTCTAAAAGAGCCTCAGATTTTAATTATATTCACCATCATCCTGGGAGAAAAAAGATGCCAATCTGAGTGTCCTCCCCCAGCCGTTGCACCAAAACAAGATGCTGAAATGAATACGCCACACAGAAATGTGAGAGGTGGAATCATATTCCAAGCGGGCTGAGTGAAGACTAGAGCTTCATTCTATTATTGTACCAGGACAACTCCAAGCCTCTCTCTCGACGCAGGTGATTGGTCCAACCCAGTGGTGAAGCACACACACAGGACAACAGCCTGGTCCTGCCCACGCGGGAGAGAATGCACAGCCCAAGGCCCTTGTGGTAGGTTACCAGTGAACAGGAAGGTCATAAAGGGTGTTCCCCTGGAGAGGCTGTAGCTGGACAGGCAGGCAATCCAACATCTTGGGCTCGTGCCTCCCCAGGATACTTTTTTATTGCTCTAAATTTAATCCCAACTTATTGTCGTTTTCAGAACAATCCACAAATCCAGTCTCTAAGCATTACCCCTCCTCTAATCACTCATCCTGAGAATCCTTCCTCTTGGGAGCGCTCCTTTCTTACCATCTTCAGTTCCACATTCCTCTCTACCCTTCCCCATCTGCTCTGCCCATAACCCCAGAAAACGAGGGGGCCCTTTGGGACCCCCTTGCCTGGATTACTGCATTGGCCCCCCAACCAGTGTCCCTGTCTTGCCTTTGACCGAGGGCGTGAGACTATTAAAGCATACATCAGATCAGCCATTTCTATGGTCTGAACCCACCAGGACTTCCTGTCTGGTGCAGGGCGAAAGTCAAGGTCTCATGCTGACCTGATCCAGCCCCGTGTCTTCACTGGCCTCACCGTTGCCACTCACACCCCGTTCTCTGTGCTCCGGCCTCACCAGCTACTTTGCTGTCCTTGATCAGGCCACGCACATTGCAGATTCCAGATCTTTGCACCTGCTATTCTCTCTTACAGGAACAAGCTTGCCCTGGACAGCGGCATGGTTTGCTTCCTCATGTCCTTCGGCACTTTGTTCAAATGCCACCTCTTCGAGGTAGTCCTTCCCTGAGCAATCTACCTAAAACAGCAGTCCCCAGCCACCCCCTACCCTCATTGATATTGTCTCCTTGGCATGCACTACCGGAGACACATTCGTTTCTTCCTTCTCCTGGCTTGTCAGCTGCATGAGGAGAGGGCCCAAGCTCACTGTGGTGTCCTCAGAGTCTAGAAAGGTGCTCAGAAAGAGCCCATAGCAGGTGCTCAGTACACCTGACATTCACTTGAATGAAGAATCTACTCAAAGGCGGCAGAAAATAGACATTGGGCAGACTATAAGAATGAATCATCTTTTTCCTGATGCCATTAGTGTCTCCTTCCTATGGGAGAAAGGTTTCCTGAGACATGGGACCATTCCTAGTGCATCAACTACCCCAAATAGGATCCAGATGTAACACAGAGTTTCCCGTAAAGAGCATTAAGCCCTTTTACTCTGTGTGTGTCTTTAAAAATCAAACATAGAAATCACTTGTCATTGATACCAGCAAATGGCTCAAACAGGAGAGCATGGATTTATAGTTCAGCTGGATTAGTGTAAAGATGATTAAAGTAATCCCTTTTATCTTATCAAAAAGAGCTTTTAGGTGACCAGAGTAAAAGCCCCTACCTAGACAGAGTGCTTTGGCGCACCTGGAGTTTCCCTCCCATGAGAAGTAAGAGCATCTGGGGCATGGAGGACTCCGCACTTGCTATCCATTGACCAGAGCCCTGCGCTGGGGCCGGTGGAGGAAGCACTTGTACAGTGCGATTGCTGTGGGCCACCTGGTCCAGTGAGCCTAGCCCCTTGGCTCAGTGCCCACTCTGAGCGCCCATATTTACAGGGCTGGTGGGAAAGTGGCCGAGCTGTGGGAGGCTGGATGAACAACGGGAAGCTGCCATTCCTGAGATGGGGAGGCAGAAGGATGGCAGGGGTGGGGATTTCAGGAGTTCACTTTTGGCTGTGCTTGGTGGAGACACAGAGAAGGCGGTAGGGCATGCAATGAACACCACACTTGCTGAGGCTGGAAGTAGGAAGTACCCATGGTAGCTTGGGAAGCAGGGGGCAGGGTCTGATCACCAATCATAACCAGTGCTGCTGAGGTCTTCTTGTGTCCTGACCTAGGCCCCTTCCAGGCTACCTGTAGCTTAACACCCCCTACAGAGAGAGCCACATTCAATTCAGTGGCTTATTGGGTTGCTGCTGTGTGCAACAAGAGAACTGCACAGGACAATTTAGAATCACAGTTAACTTCCCTGAACAACCCTCCAAAGGGTTCCCATTGCTCTTAGGATGCAGACCAAGCCCTGGCCCCGGCTACCAAGGTGCTTTTGTGCCCGCACTTTCTGTGCTTTGCCTTTTTTAAGTTCTAACAGGGCATGCACTTTCCATTCCCTTTATCTGGAGTGCTTGCTTCCCCTCACTGCCAATGCCCGTTTTCTTCCTACCTTGCCTTAAAGGTGACTTCCTCACACAAGCCTTTCCTGAGTGCCCAACCATCCTTTAGGTGTGCACAGAGCAAGTGTCCTCCTGAGGCTTACCATAGCCATAATTAAGCAAGTGATCATGCAATTAGTTGTTTATGTGGGCCTTTCTTGCCACAGGCAGGGGTGGCATTTCACTTGTACACTGCCATTTCCTGGTACCTGCCCAGTAACTCAACCACCAGTTACAGGAACCCAGGGCCAGGCTGGGTGGAACAGACTGTGGGGGTGGGGATTGACAGAGTGAATCCCTGGGGGCTGGAGCCATCTGCCAAGACTGCTGGACGAGGCTGGACTTTGGCTGGGCCCTACATGAAGGGAGGATTTGGAAGGCAGAGAGGATGGGCATTTCAGTTGAAGGATCCATTTAAACAGAGGCAAAAGGAACCCTGGCTTGGAATCAGGAAAATGAGGGTCTCAGCCCATCTCCTGGGTGGCAGGGGGCAAGTTATTTTCCTTCTCTGGACCTTAATCTTTCATCTGTAAGATGATAGGCTGGTTTATCAAGGATTGCAAGTAATAGCACCATGACACTATTTCCCCATCTCATACCCTGGCAGACATCTGTCTTCCCTGTGAGCCTGAATACAGCTTCAGAATTATCTTTAACACAATGTTCGAGGCAGCCATTACCAATTGACAGGAGATGGCAACTGAGATAAATCTTGTCTGTCAGGCTTGGCTTGGATGGAGATCTCTAAGATGAAGTCAGGCCCTGACACTGTCTGATTCCGTGAACGTGTGACAGGAGGACAGAGGGAGGCATCTGACCACTGCTGGTGGAGAAGAAAGCCCTACTGAAGCAGAGAGCTCAGTAGCACCAAATGTCATGATCAGAAAGGACATGAAAATGTTCCAGTCCAGGAGTGGCAAACTCAAACACCTTCAGGGGCCAGTAGATAATGCAAATGAGAGAAGTCTTCCAGGGGCTTAATATAGGGAATGGTGGGGAGTGTGGCAAAATGGAGAAAGTGGGAGTCTTTGCCTTGTCTAAAAGGCTTAAAAATATCTTTGCCACTCCACTTTTCTTTTCTCCTTCCTCCTCCTTACTGTATGGGTCAAGCAAAAACAGTTCTAAGGCTGAAATTTGCTCCCAGAGAGCCAGACTGTGACCTCTGAGTCTTGCTAGCTTTATTGGAGAATCTGGACCGGGAGGGGAATGGTGTAGCCTAATGCCACAGTGCAAGCCAAGCCTGTTGATTCCCATCTGATTGCTTCCTATTGCAATGTGGCCACAATGCCTGGGAACAGGATGAGGATGGACTAAAGGAAGGACAGGAGTGGATTGTGGCTTAGGTTTTCAAAAGATGTGCATTTCATTTTGGGTGATTATGAAAAGGGAGTGGGGGGCCTGTTTTCTACTACTGCCACTCATGTGACTACTTTTAAGTATTCACTGGTTTAAATTCCCAGATCTTCAGAAACATGTCACTTTCCACTGGGGAAAGTTGTGTCATGATTAAACACACACACACACACACTCACACCCCTCCTCCTCCTTTCTCAGTATTAATCACCTTCTCCCGTAATTAGTACTTAAAATGTCAAAGGAGAAGGAATTAATTAACAGGAGTATCCAGCGCAGCAAGGCTCTGGGACTGATTATAAAAAGCACCTTCTTAAATATTTTGAGCACTTTTGGGAATCAGAAGCCTCCCTTCTAATTGAAAGATCCCTAAGTACACCCCAAGTCCTGGCTGGTGGCCAGGGGTGCAGGGCTGAGTGAGGCGGCCGTGCGGAAATCCCTTCTTCGCCACTCTTAGGAGGCCTCCTTCTGAACTGGGGTAGGTGGCAACAGGTTCGGAAACAGCAGGTGTCCCAGGCTGAATCTGAGGGGGAGAAAGGTGTAACCTTTACTGAGCTTCTGTTGCGTGTCAGAAAGTTTAAGAAGCTATTCAATCCTGTCAGGCAAGTGACAACTACTATCTCCATTTCACAGATGGGGAAATTGAGGCTCAGGGTGGTTGTGACTTCCTCAGATCACGCGGCGTCTAAATGAAAGCACAAAAGATTCAAACTTAGGTCTGATTCTAAAATTTTGCTCTTTCGTGGAATCCTGGAATCGTATTCTCAGCTTTCTTCTCCACTGCTCCCCAACCCAGCCCCAAACCTTGGAGACTACAGTGTTGACAGCTGAGGCAGGAGCCCAGACCCGGGCATGGGAGGTGGGGCTGGGAGAAGCACAGCGCCCCGCCCGGCTCCAGAATCAGCCAATGGTGACACGGCACCCTCAGGCTTTTGCCCAATCAGCCTGAGCTCCCCGCCCCCATCCCGTTGTTCTCCGCCCCTCCCCTCCGCTTTCCCTTTGGCTCCACCGAGCTTGACAGAGCGGAAAGTCCCCTCAGCTGGCGCCGGGCCGGCAGCCATTGGAGGAAGGTCTGTCACAGGGAGACCCAATCAGGGCGCGCGCAGGAATGCAACTCTGGCTGCGATTGGCTAGCACGGCTGTTGCCCTCCGCCCCCGCTCCCTCCCTCTACCCTGGGCTGTTCGGAGGCGGGGCAGGTGGGGGCGGGCCCAGGTAGCAGGTTCGGCTGCGCGGGGGCCCGCGCGTCCGAGGTAAATACTAGGGCGGTGGGTGTGGGGCGCCGCACCGGCCCAGGACCGGGACTGGGGAGGCAGGGGTAGGGGCGACGCCCCGCCGCCTGAGGTGAGTGAGAGAGCGGGCGGCGAGCGGCGGGCGGCCGGGTCCCCTCGAGCGCCCCTCCCCGGCCTCAGGCGCCTCGAGCCGCCGCGGCGACCGTCGGGCCCTCGGCGCTGGCCCGTTAGTTGTCCCGGCCCGAGCCGGCCAGGCCCGCGGTGTGCTGAGCCCGCTGACGTCAGCCTGGGCTTCCCCACCCCCGGGCTTCCCCACCCCCCTGAGCCTTCCCGGGTGGGCTCCCGAGTCCTGGGAGACGGGTCGCCGCCGTCGGGACCCCGGGAGAAGAGAGGGCTTGGGGTGGGAGCAGCGCCGGACGCAGTCTCCCTCTTCGGTGCTCCATTTACAGTTGGGGAAACTGAGGCACGGGCCACTGGTTGGCTCCCGACTGCCCCAGTTGGCATCGAGAGCCCCGGGTTGTCATACCTCACGTCTGTGCCGTGGGGTGTATGGATCGTTCGGTTTTGGGGTGTTTGTGGCTCTCTTCCAGGAACAGCAGTCGGGGTTCTGGCCTCGTTAATGGCGTGTTCTGCTTTTTCTTTCAGTTTCTGTCTTTCCAGGGTGAAGATGGTTTTACACAACAATCTGGAGTCCTTTAGTTGAAAGGTGCTCCCTGCTGAGACAGGTATTCTTTCTTTTTGTTTTTCCTTCATATTAACCATCAGTGGGGAAATCACGAAATCTTGAAGGAAGATAGTGTTCTTGAGTTTGGTGCACAGTTGGGTCAGCTGCCCGCTTATTCATGTACTTGGCATCTTTTCTATTCCACCCCTTGGCATTTGCATGTTTTAGGGTGGTTGTCATCTTTCAGCCACCAAGCCTGCGCAGGCTTCCAACTCCCCTCCCCCCAGTCCCTGCCACCTTCCTCTCCCCAGTTTTCCCTGGAAAGTTATATCCGTACCTCAGCTAAGGAGCATTCCTACCTTGCTTCTCAATTCGGGCTAATTGGGATCTTAATAAGATTGTTCATTTTGCAATCATTGGCTCCCAGAGAAAACCCAGGCCTTGAAAGGTGTTCTTTAAGTGTTGGCTTTCTACACACCCACTCGTGCCCCAAGTAGATTGAATGGCCCTAAGGATTTAGCCTGCCATTTCCCACTGGGTAGTGGGTGGATTTGAACTATAATAGTATTAGGAGAAAATGATTTGCTGGAAATTCTTATTGAAGTTCATGTACTCTGAATGATGTTAACACCCAGAACATTCTCTAATGTTCTGCTGCAAAATTTAATGGTATTCTTGCAGAGATGCCTTCCTTTGGGTAGTAACTTTTGTAAGGAGCTGATAAGGCCAAGCCACTTGTTATATAAAACAACAACAAACACGAAAGAGTAATGATTTCTGTAGTCTGGCATGCCTACACTGTGTTTTTTGTTTGATTTAAGAAAGTCTTTAACACAAGAAGAGTGAAAGCAATTATCCTGCTCATCAAACCATTAGTATTTTATTCCTGATTTTCACACTATTCTTCAATTTATTTTTTTAATTTTTTTTACAGTGGGTATACAGAATTTATAAGCATCATACATGGTGATGAGGTCCTAGGAAGCTAGTTTCAGAGGAACCTCAAAGCAACTTGGTTTCTTAATTGTGAAATTTTTCTTTCTTCTTATATGTATAACAATGAAGTGGTGTAAAAATCGATGGTGACTTCCTTTATCCAGATAATTAGTGAAGTTTTAGGCAAAAATCATTAAATACTCCCAACTCCTGAGTCTTTTTCTTCTCTTTCTCTCTCTCTTTTTTATTAACCTGGAAGAAGCTTTTAATCACTTAGGGTGAGGAAATGGAATTTTGGCTTTCACTGTTATCACTTGAGTCCTTCATTCATTTCTCATGTGTTGAATGCCCCCACATGTCAGGCACTGGTTTGGGCACTGGAAATATAAAGGTGAAGGCCTTGAGGAGTTTACAGTTTGGAAGTGGAGGGGCTAGGTTTAACCCTCCTGTGACAACAGTAGTCCTTGTTCTGATTTGCACGTGTACATGTGGGAGCCAGACTTTCTTTTTTAACCTCATAAATCCCACTTGTTTTAGGGACCGTGTATTTGTGTCTCAGGTTAATCTATGAGGAAAATTAAAAGTGACTCAGTTTCTTTTCTGGTCATGGAATCTCTGTATTCCTATTCTTTAGCTGTTTAGAAATATAACAACTTTTTCTTTTAGTGAGAGATACTCTTTCTTAAAATGATGATCATTCTGTCTATATAGAAGCTTTTGGAAAAAGGCTCCTGTGTCTTCTTTTCTTTGGTGTTTATGCTGACCTTCTCACCTCTTTGCCATTTATAGTTAGGGGCAGAACTTAGTATTGCAATTTTTATCCTGATTTAGATAGCCTCCTGTGATTTCTAGAACAAGCAGGATATCTTAGCAGATGCAAAAAATTCTTCAATTAGATCTGTCTTTGTGAGGTTCTTATGAACAGTATAACCTGATAACTTGAGAATCAAAATGACATAGTATCTTCTGGATAAGTTAACCATTGTCAGTTTTCTGTAGCTACTGATGTTCACTTGTACTATATGTTGACTTTTAGAATGTGGTAATTCTGCTCCTTAATATTTTCATGTAAAACTTATTTCTTGATCATCTTCTTCCCATTGCATCCATGGAAAATTGATAAATATTTGTGTCTTCCAACCCTCATCTTGGTTTAATGACTTTATCTTATCACATTTGAATTCCCTTTTACTCAGAATCCAGACCATCAACAAGCTCAGATAACCAGATATATTTTCAACTCTTTGTTGAACTATTCCCTCATCTCAGTGTCCTCAAAAGAAAGGGCTTCCATTCAACGTGGTTTTAGGGTTAAATATTTTATTGTGCTTTAACTCTTTGGTAATCTTCATTCAGTACTTATCAGGATATTCATAATCTGTCAGTTATTCAGCCTGAAGATAGTATTTAGATGAGTCATTTGTGATATATTCACTCTCAAAAATGACTCCACCTGCAATGTAGTAAGAAAATACAAATGAAAATTTCTCCCTTCCCACTGACCCACCACTTGCCCTGCTGTGATTTTGAATTTGGCTGTGCTTCTCTTTCCTTGTGTTGTCTTACGGCTCCTGTGGCCTTTGTTAAAGGCAGAAGCAGAGTGAACGTGGGATGATTTGTCTTAAATTGTATTTTTCAGTGTTTAACACTGTACTGAGAGCATAAAAATACAAACCAACAAGCCAGTCTTCCTGGTTGATAAAGAGCTCATTTACAATGTGATTTAAGTCTTCCCCTCCCATTGTCTTGAGGCAGTTTTTACTGGTTAGAGTACTTAAGATGTTAACTATTGTGCATATCCCAGTAAAAGAAGAATGTTGGCATTATGTCTTTTCTACAGTGGGGGGAAATATGTGTTAGCACATTTCTGTTGTAATACTGGTATTTTGAGGATATTAAAATCATTAAATTTATCATCTGGTATATTTCTAGACTAGAGCCATAAACTTACCCATTCAATTTTCTGTATCAGTTGCAATGAAGACAATTAATTTTTAATATGATCATTTCAAACCTATTCTTAATGTATTCTTTCTAAAAGCGAAAAGGCCACATTCTTTTTATTTTGGATAATGCCTTTTAAATATTTCATAACTTTGCTTTGGCTGTTACAGTTGTCTAATATGACCCATCCTGTTACTGAGTCTAAGCTCATTCTCACTGTGCTAATGCAAGTTAGAAAAAAAAGTTACCACTCCTTGTGTTCACTTTAAAATATGATACTTGGAATCTACTGTTGCCCTCGACTTTTTAATAGACCAACTAGTTATATCAATTTTACTGTGGATCATCTCCCTTAAATGATTTTCAAAAAGCCATTTTGTAATCACATTCATTTAAAATATAATGTCCTAATGCATTACATATAGTAATTTTGAGTTTTGTCTGGATAATATTTTATTAGTACTAATGGTTTTTATTTTAAATTGTGACATGAATTGTTAAGGCTAGAGAACCAATAGAGTAGGACTTGTTAGTATATACATAACTATTAAGACTCAAGGAAGTTTCTGATTTTAATATTTGAAGATATTTTTAGGAATTCTAAAAAATAATTTCTTATCAAAATAGAATTGCCTTTTTAACAAAAATCTTGGCCAAAAATAGTTTAAATACCTTTTTAAAGGAACCTAAACAATAGCTCACTTTTTTGGAAGTTGCCTTTTGACTATCAACTGTTTGGGAGTGACCAAACTAATATCTATTCAATAAAGCCTATGTGTACTTTATTCCTAAAGACCCTTTCAAAATTAATGTATTTTGTATATTTGTTATTGTTGCTTTGTTTGTTTTTTCAAACACCCAAACACATTTCACCATCTGGCTTCTCAGAACTGGTTAGAAACAGTGAGTTGGAGAGCAACAAGACTGTAAAAGGAGTCCAATGCACACTGCAGAAACCACGGACAATGGCTGATCGCAAGGAGAGACTATAGATGCTGGCCTGTAGAAAGCAGACAGGTGCTCAGGATGCACAATGCAAAGTCTTTTCACAGTGCAATGAAAGGCCTTGCATACTGAGAGCCACACATAATAATTTATATTAATAATGATAATTCAGTGATCCATAAAAAAAAAAAAGCCATTTCCTTGTTGCAAGTGTTGACATTTTAAAAGCATTTTAGTCAAAAATAACATTTCATGTTGGTACTTTAAAGGAATAGAGCCAATTTGAGGGGTTGGGTAGCCCTTATAAGGAGTTTTGTTTATGTGGTGCCAAGATTGAGGTTTCCACAGGTGTCTTATATAAGTGGCAAATATAAATTGATCCCATTCCTGTTGAAGTAGACAGTGCCCTCAAGTGGAATTAAAACAAACACATTACCAAAAGAGGAAAAAAAAGATAACTACTTCATGCTACCTTTGCCTTTGCCATCACTAAATGTTACAGATATTTCAATAATGTTGGTTTGAAAGGGTGCCAAACTCTTGGCCTGTCTTGAGTAACCCATATGTCTCATTTTGGCTTATAGAGGGACAGACATTTAAAAAGCGTTACCATTATGGAATACCTCATTATCTAACAATGTTTTCTAAAAGGAATGTTACTTTGTGTATAGATTTGCCAGATTGTTTCATGATTAAGTTAAATAATTAAACTTAAAATTTGGTTCTTTAGTTTTAGGAGTTTTTATATTTTAATTGGTAATTAAATAGGTAAATCTGATAGTGCTATCAATTGCAGCCATTACCTGGAATAATGGAAATGAATACCTCTATCTCAAAGAAGGATGAAATAAGTACTGTATTTAGAAACCAAATAGCCACATTCTTGTGACAGAAAATACATAGGAGCTATTGTTTTCAGCAAGATAATTAATTAAAATAAGGAAGTAAAGTCTCAATTTGAATTAATGAAACTGTGTAGTTTTTAACCATCAGTTTAAGTAGGGTTGAGAATGAAGCTATTTAATTATGAAAGATTATCATCCTTGTAAAAATTTTAAATGAAAATTTGAAGCCAAAAAAGAAATCGTAAAAATAAGTCATCTTTTGTCTATTCCTTTCTCATATACATAGTTAAAATTGAGGTGTAAAAACACTTTATATTTGATACTATAATGCAATTATATCTCCTCGTTACATAGTCCTAGTTTTGATGTTACAAAATTGGTTTTTAAAACATCTTTAATCATATTATATTTGCGATTGTGAGAAATGAAATGAAAGCTATGATTAATCTGATTAACATTTGCCCATCTAAGGACAAAATGTACAGGATTAAGGAAATGAAATTGGGTCAGAGGTAAAATGTTCCATCCATTGATCTTTTAATTCCATCAAAATGTAGCATACAGATGAATTGTGGTTAAAGTTTCAGAATGTAATTTTATGATATTTTTATTGATAAAAGACATTCAATATCATATGATGGGTCACTTTTTACTTAAACTATGTGGTTGGAAATGATAGCTTTTAGATAAAGTATAAGATTTGTGTGTATTTTGCTCAAATACAGCAACTTAGCCATTTAAATTAGACAGGATGCATTAAGAATGCTACTTTTTAAAGTTTAAAAATGTCAGAATATGTATGTAAGGGTAACCTTTAAAATTTTTACTAGAATCTGATTTTACAAATTTCAATGTCTTGGAAACAAACATTATTGTACTGTCTTGGAAGTTACTTTGCAATAGGATTTCCTTAATTATGCACAGTTATAGTAGATAAAAGTAATGTATTATATGTCTTTTAGCCCTTTTAGATATTTTTGGGATTATTTCTATTGTATGTGTTTTTATGGTTCAAATGAGATTTTTTTAAAAAGTCTTTAACCTTAATTTTAGGTCATGTAGAATGAAGTCTAAAGTTTATTTTTGCTTGTTCACCAGGCATTTTGATTTGCTGTCTTTTTACAGCATGGACACCAAATTGCTAAAAACATGCTTTGGGGAACTGCCAGTGAATTTATCTTTTGCGGTTTTACTACAAACTTATCAGTAGTTCCCTTTTTTTTGAATTAATATTTTGAAGTTAATATCACAATGAGTTCAGGCTTATGGAGCCAAGAAAAAGTTACTTCGCCCTACTGGGAAGAGCGGATTTTTTATTTGCTTCTTCAAGAATGCAGCGTTACAGACAAACAAACGCAAAAGCTCCTTAAAGTACCAAAGGGGAGTATAGGACAGTATATCCAAGATCGTTCTGTGGGGCATTCGAGGATTCCTTCTACAAAAGGCAAGAAAAATCAGATTGGATTAAAAATTCTAGAGCCACCTCATGCAGTTCTCTTTGTTGATGAAAAGGATGTTGTAGAAATAAATGAAAAATTCACAGAGTTACTTTTGGCAATTACCAATTGTGAGGAGAGGTTCAGTCTGTTTAAAAACAGAAACAGACTAAGTAAAGGCCTCCAAATAGACGTGGGCTGCCCTGTGAAAGTACAGCTGAGATCTGGGGAAGAAAAATTTCCTGGAGTTGTGCGCTTCAGAGGACCCTTGTTAGCAGAGAGGACGGTGTCGGGAATATTCTTTGGAGTAGAATTGCTGGTAAGTTTGATAAGCCATTTTAGTGGGCTGTGTCTGTGTTCGTTTGTGTCTGTGTATATTTGTATGCACATATGTATTTTTCCCCTTTAAGTACAAAATACGTTTTCCCAGAAGTCTTCTATAACTTTTAATGTTCATGATCCTTAGGATTTACTTTTTAATGATGAATTGAGATGATGTAAAGATGATTCATGAAACTTTTAAAAAACTACATACTGTAGTAGGAACATACAAGTAGATCGCATGGTTATTGCAGACTTTTATATCTTAGAAATTTTAACATTGCCTTATTAAAAATAAACTATTATCAGTTATAAATAGTTACATCAAAAATTGTTAATTGTGACATTATCATCTATAGGTTTCTCAATTTTTAATGTGTGCTAGTAAGTAATGACAATTGAGATATAAGACTTTTTAAAATAAGTTACGGCAATTTAAACTTGCTTATAGTTGTCTCAGATAATATCTGTGAAAATCATCTGGAATTTATTTCTACTGGAAATAAACCCAAGAACTGTGTGATATATTTCCAAACTTAATATTCATTCTCAAGAACTTAAATGTCAATTACATTTTGACATTCTTGCAAATGGAATTGCATATCTTGTTTGCTTCTTTTTTTTTTTTTTTTTAATATTTGGTCAGGAGGAAGAATGGAATGCTTCTTGATATAATTTTTTCAAACAGTGATTGTAAACAATTAAGGATTTGAATCCCAGTTAAGCCATTTACTAGCTGGGTTGTCAGAGTACTTAATCAAGCTATTTAACTTCTCTAGATCTGCTTCCACCTCTGTAAAATGGTGTTCATAGTACACAACTTGTAGTGTTTTTGTGGCACGTTGATAGAGGATTTAGCATGGTGGCAGGCATATAAGTACTCAATAAATGCAGCTAACATTATTCTTTTAAAGTAAAATTTTATTTTTATGACAGAATTATTAATGTTAGAATCACAATGTATAACCAGCCCAGCTTTCTCATAATAGAATTATGATTTGAAATTATCAGGTAATTTTATTTCAGCATCAGATATACCTTCTTCCTTATTTTTTATCCTATATCCAACAGCAACTACTGATAATTATATTTCTTATTATATGTGTCCTTTAGAATTTTTCCAGAGTGATTTTCCTGAAATTCCCAGAGTTGATCCTCTTTCCCATGGATCATCTTTCTATATCTACTATTTTTTTCTCTCTCTCTGTTAAAAACTAGGAAGAAGGTCGTGGCCAAGGTTTCACTGATGGGGTATATCAAGGGAAACAGCTTTTTCAGTGTGATGAAGATTGTGGAGTGTTTGTTGCATTGGACAAGCTAGAAATCATAGAAGATGATGACACTGGATTGGAAAGTGATTATGCAGGCCCAGTGGACACAATGCAGGTTGAACTTCCCCCTTTGGAAATAAACTCCAGAGTTTCTTTGAAGGTTGGAGAAACAATAGAATCTGGAACAGTTATATTCTGTGATGTTTTGCCAGGAAAAGAAAGCTTAGGATATTTTGTTGGTGTGGACATGGTAAGAAAATTTTGGATTAAATATCTTTATGAATATATGTATTAGTTTTATGACCAATTTAGTTACAAATTGAATACTTTGAATATTTAAAATGGACTAATTTGGAGTACTTTAAAGAACATGTTCTAATTTATTATTGGTAGAGGAACATTGAAAGAGGCCAGTCTTACACAGTGTATAATTCTCTCTTAAAGAGTCTAGATATAGAATTACTCTTTTTCCAGTTTGGATAAACTAGAATAATGTTCTCAGTCTTTAAAATTTGCCTTATTATAGCTGACCAGTAGACAAAACAAACAAAAACATCCCAAATGTATTATGTGATATCTTATTTTTCTTTATTTTGAAAGGGTTTTTTTTTTTTTTTTTTTTGGAGACAGAGTCTCACTTTGTTGCCCAGGCTAGAGTGAGTGCCTTGGCATCAGCTTGGCTCACAGCAACCTCAATCTCCGGGGCTCAGCTATCCTACTGCCTCAGCCTCCCGAGTAGCTGGGACTACAGGCATGCACCACCATGCCCGGCTAATTTTTTGTATATATATTTTTAGTTGGTCAATTAATTTATTTCTATTTTTGGTAGAGACGGGCTCTCGCTCAGGCTGGTTTCGAACTCCTGACCTTGAGCAATCCGCCCGCCTCGGCCTCCCAAAGTGCTAGGATTACAAACGTGAGCCACCACGCCCGGCCTGAAAGGGTTTTTTTTGTAATCTGTTTTTCTTTTTTTTTTTCACAAAATTGTATTTGCTGATCTGATCTAAATGAGTAGTGTAAAAACTATTTACAGAAAATGCCTGCATAAAGGAAAGCCAGGAATTGCTTGTGAGGAATAGACAATTAGGGTACTTTCATAGGATATCACTCATTTAAAAAACTTTTATTTATTTGTTGTGGTAAAATATACGTAACATAAAATTTACCATTTTAGCCATTTTTAAGTATACAGTTCAGTAATATTAAGTATATTTATATTGTTGTACCATCATCACTTTCTCCAGAACTTTTTCATTATCCCAAACTGAAACTGGGTACCTAGTAAACAATCACTGCCTGCTCTTCCCAACCCCTGATAAGCATACTTTCAACTTCCTGTCTCTCTGAATTTGCCTGTTCTATGTTCCTCACATAGTGGAATCATACAATATTTGTCCTTTGGTTTGTGTCACTCATTTTTTATGTAACCTTATACTTGTAATAATGGGTACAGTCCAATATGGCAAGTTGAGTTATACCTGTGGCATTAAGAGAATGAGAAGAAAAAGGCCAAGAACATTTTTATTGTAGATTGAAAATATGGGCAAGAATTTGTTAGATATAAAGAATGAAATTCATACAGAATTACTGAATACTAGAACACAAAATTACTAAATGAGTTGGGAGAGGATGTGAGTAATAGTCATTTGTATTTACAATGGAGATGTTTTTGGTTGTCATTTTTATCTATTCAGGTTTACCTCTTGGTTGGTAGGGTATGAATGTTCTAGCATAAGTTTCTGTTACCCTGTGCTTAGAAATTCTGTTAATAGGAAATTCTATTTGATACTCGTTAGTTAATCTAAACAAGCCTTCGCTGAACTCATGTTATGTGAAAAGTTGGGTCATTTCATGTTATGTGAAAAGTTGGACTAAAACTTGGGTCCCTCAAGATAGCTAACCATAAAGTACCCCTTTTAACCAATATTCTTTAAATGTTAATTCACTCTTTAGAGGAGAAACTGTGATTTGGCTTGGGCCCCAAATGTGGCCTTACCCATTTCAGAGGGTGGTCTAAGGGTCATCTTGTTTACCTGGGTTGAGCTGCCAAGAGGTTTGCCCTGTGGCTTCTTTCCCTGCCTCTGCCCATCCCCTAGTTGTTTTGTGCAAGCATTTGTTCCAAACACTTGCAGTATGCTCCTTGAGAGGAAAGTTCTAGCAAATACATTTTTCTCCATCTCCTTCTATTTCCAGGGACATTTTAGCATGCCATAATACATTGGTGCTCAGAGGAGTTGCTTGACTGGCCCATCTCATTATCTAGCTCCATGAACAGCACTGTGCTAGTTGTTGCTACATTGGAATATAAAATAATTAAATATAAACATCTCCACTTTGGAGGAAATTCTTGAATACCCATAAAATAAGAAAAGAACAATTAAAAAGCAGACTTTCTATGTAGAGAAAGACCTACAGAAATTTCAGTTGGACTATTTAAGTGCTCGGGGAATAAAAAAGAGTGATCAGAGCAAGGTAGGGCTAATTAGAGGCAGGTTTCTGGGTGAAATAATGTATTATTAATAAACCTTCCTATGCAAAATGATGTCTCTCTAAACCTCATATGGATGTTATTATATAGACTAATATTTATTGTCTGGTAAAGTATGAAGAACTCTTGATTCCTTGCTCATCCGTGGGTTTACTATAATTTGATTATTCTTGGATCTCATTTTTCGAAAAACAAATGAACAAAAAAACAAAGCCTCATTACTATGACAATTATTCCTAATATATTCTTTCTTTCTTTTAGGCAAAATAGTTAAAATTTTTCAGTGTAAAGCATTTTGGAGGATTCTCTTATGGAAAATACAGACTTTCATATTTATATTTTATTGGGGGGAGTTTTAAAGTTTATTCTATTATTTAATTTCTAGGATAACCCTATTGGCAACTGGGATGGAAGATTCGATGGAGTACAGCTTTGTAGTTTTGCAAGTGTTGAAAATACAATTCTATTGCACATCAATGATATTATCCCAGGTATGTTTTCTTTATGTTTATATATTTATAAGACAGACTTTCTAAGATGTGTTTTGTTATGAAGATGTAAATATAAGCTTCAAGATGCATTTTTGGAACTTTTTTGTTATGGAATTAAAGAGAATATCATTTCTTACCCCCAAATGAAAACAGTGAAGATTTTTATTTATGTGAGTGTAGGGTGGCATTTATACATTATCATTCACTTTTTCATCATCTGTCCATTTAAGGGAGGAAAAAAAGCCTTTTCTGATAATTAGAAGGGTCAGAGAATATAATAACCTTCTACCTGTTTGAGTGAGAGTTTGGTTTAAACTAGAATGCTTTAAGCAGAAATTGGTCATCTACTCTACCGTGGAAAGGATTTTTGCTGAATGACCTACTAGATCTTTTCTAGTTTTGAGAAGGTATAATTGATCAGGGGTCATGACTCTAGTCAGTTTTTTTTTTTTTTTTTTAATTTTTTCTTTAGTCAGTTTTACATCTTAAAAAAATCTTAAGCAATCTTTTATTTTGCCTCTAACAAGTAGCTCCTAATGGCTGCTGTCAGGTAATTAAGTTCCTATTGATAGCAACTTCAACAGTTCCATCCTCTGCTGTTAGTAGAATTCTGTGATAGGCTAGTGCTATAAAGCTAACAGAGGCAATCAGAGGATGGTGATTCTTACTGAACATTATGTAACTGTGATTAAAATGTCAGAAGGCCTGCAGGTAGACTGTAGCCAGGAATGTACCAGGCCCGAATTAGGTGACTTATACTTTTTTACATTCTTGACAAACTTATAAGGTAGGTCTTAATGATCCCTATTTTGTTGATTAAAAAACTGGGGTTCAGATAGGACAAAAATTGCCTAAGATCAAAGTGAATTCTGGTAGAGCCAGAATTCAAATCTAGACCTGATTACAAAGCTGTGCTCTCTTCTCAGTATCTCCCTACCCCAAATCCTATATGTATATTTAGGATGTGAAGACCTGCATAGAAAACCATACTTCTCAGTCTCACATGTATGCTTGGGAATATTGTTTCCATGGAGATATATTTTGTCTCTAGTTCTATAAAAGCCGAATTTTGCTATAGCAAGATCACAATTGAACAGGCAAAGTAAATTGTTGTTTTGCTTCTAGTATTTTTCCATTATTGCTAAATTTGATACAGAGTTGGTTATTTTTTTTTTTAAGTTTTCCGCAGGTTATTTCAGTTCCTCAGTTTCTTTTTTTATAAGAATGAAGGGGCAAACCTAGTGTTCCTTCACTGTTTGCCCTTACTGTTTCACTGCTGGTGTGGCAAGTAATAAATGCTTGTTTTTAGGACTTAGGACATGCTTTCTACTTTTGCTTTTAGCTTTATAGCAAGAGTACATTAATTTAGTTGGAGAGGTGTAGGATTGAAACCATAGCTTTATTTCAATTTTGCTTTTTAAAAGTGTGCCGTGTGACATATTTTGCTTTTCTTGATTTCTTTAAAAATCAGTTTTTAATTTATTGCAAATTAGATTCCTACTATTTTTTTGCTTCCCTTTGGAAACAATGGTTTACATTCAGGGAAAAGTTTACATGTGCTTGATATTTTATTTAGTGATATTTAATTTATTCTTTTATGTCTGTTTATGGAGATAACTCAATTTATCATTTTATGAATTGAAGTACTTTTATTATTATGATAAATGCTTATTGTTTAAAAAACAGTTTCATAAAAGTTCTTCCTTAATTCAGATATTATTAATCCCTTACTTAGGCTTCTTTCAGATGTTAAGGATATAGTAGGAAGCAAAACAGTTAAAAATTCTTGTCATATGACACTTTCATTCTAGTGAGTGGAGGAAGACAGTAAATAAATAAAGTATATGGTCAGTTAGATGGTGCTGAGATTGAGAATGATCAACAAGGTGAGGGGGAAGGGAGCGCTGGGTTGTAGGATGAGATTTTTCAATTTCATGTGGGGTAGTTCCAGTGAACCTCTCCAATGTGACATATGAGCTTTTGACAGACACGGAGGAAGTTTGGAAGTGAGCACATGGAGTCCAAGGGAGGGCCCAGGGCTGCAGCCAGTTTGGCCATTCGAGCAGTGTCAGGAGTTCACTGTGAGGGAGAGAGTGATAAGCGTGTAGCCGGAGCTGGAACAGGTAGGGCTGAGTGGGCTGTTGTATGGAATCTTTGCTTTCACTGTGAGAGAGGCAGGGAGCTATAGGTGGGTTTTGAACAAAGGACAACTTGCCCTAATTTACATTTTAAAATGATCATTCTGGCTGCCTGTTAAGAATAAAGTTGACTGAGGACAGAAACAAAGACCAGGAAAGAGACTGTTGCACTTCCCCATGTGAGACAAGATGGTGACTTGGATTGGGGTAGCATAAGAAGTAGGTGAGAAGTGAATGGATTGAAAGAGTGCTGATAAGATTTGCAAATGGTTTGGGTGTGGGGTTTGAGTGAAAGAGAGAGAGAGGAAGCATGGATGACTCCAGGGTTTGGACTGAGCAACTGGAAGGCTGTAGAGGCTGTTTGCTGAGGGGGGAAGACAACAGGAAGGACTTTTGTGTCGCAGGAGAGAGATGAGGGAACAAGGGCTGGAAATCAGAATTTTGGTTTTGATCATGTTACGATTGAGATACCCATTCATTTGAATGTTTACATTAATGATAAGAATGCTTCTTTAATGCTTCAAAATGGGTAATAGTGCTGAAATTTTTCATATTTAAGAAACTTTATTGTGAAATATATTCACAAAAGAATGTATAAAAACATATTAATAATAATGAGCACTCATGTATGTTACCATCCATGTTGAGAAATAGAACATTATAAGTACCTTAGAAACCACTTGTGTACCTTTTCTTTATTATAATTGCAATCTCCTCCAAGGGATAATTGCTATTATGTTTTTTTTTCATTGATTATTTCCTTGCTTTTCTTTATAGTTTTATCATATCTCTGTGCCTAAATTGTTTAGCCTGTTTTTAAACTTAATATAATTAGAATCATACTGACTTTTTAAATTACTTGCATCATTTACTTAAAATGTATTTCGAGATTCTTTTCTGTGGGTGAGGGTATTATTAGTTCATTTCACCCTCACTGTTTCACAGCATATTTCATTGTGTGACCATCTCATAATTTAGTGACCCATTCTGATGTTAATAGACATTTGAGTTTTGGGTTTTTTCCACCTCCTTTTCAACACTTAGCACTGATTATAATTTTTGCCAGTCTTGACAGTTGAGTAATGGTATCTCAAGGTGGTTTTGAAATTTGTGGTTCTTTGACTACAAGTAGGGTTGAACAGCTTTTCATATGTTTATGGAACATTGGTGTCTTCTATTAAACACCTGTTTGTGTTTTTTGCCTATTTTTATGAGTTGTCTATTGATTCATGAGTTCTCTATTTTTAAAATTTTAATAAAAATTTAAAAAATAATTTTATTGTGAAATTTTGGACATACAGATGAGAGAATTTTATGTTGAACATCCCTATAGGTGCCTTCTAGATCCTACAGTGAACTTTTTACTGTAATTGCTTTGTCACATGTCTCTCCAGCTCTCTATTCACTCACTAGTAATGGATCCTATGTTCTGTATGCATTACAGATTAAGTATACTTCCTCTTGAATACTTCAGCATGCTTTTACTTACCTAGAGATAAGTATTTAGGGGTTTCTTTTTTCATTTTAGATAAAAGTCATACATGTAATGAAATGTACATCATATTATTTGGGTTTTGACTAATACATATACCCTTGAATTGGAAACCCCTATCAAGTTAAGATAATTTTAATAAGACATCCATTCACATATCTCAAGTCAAAATAGAAAAAAGTACAGTAAAATATCTTGTTTCCGTTTTTATCTCCTCCACTGCAATTGTCTGCTCACTCCATCCCTTGTTTCCTATTGGTAACAGTTTTTATTAGTTTCTTATATATCTTTCCAGTGTTTCTTTACACAATATAAATATATATTCTTATTTCTCCTTCCCTTTCAATACAAAAGCATAACTATACACTATTCTGCTTTTTGCTTTATGCTATTGACTTTCTATCTTGGAGCTCTTTGTACATCCCAATAGAGAGGTTCTTGTTTTTTATAGTATGTAATTTTCCATTGTATGGAAAAAGTCCATAATTTATTTAACCAGTTTCCTATTGATGGATATTTGGGTTGTTCCTGACTTTTTACTATTTGATACAATGCTGCAATAACTTTGTACATATATATTTCCCACATGTGCTAGCATGTCTGTAGGATAAATTCCCAGAAGTGAGGTTGTTTGGTGAAAGGGTACATGCATTCCTATTGTTCTAGATGTTGCTGATTGCCTTCAGTAGTGGATATAACAATTTGTATTCCTACCGGCAGTATAAAGGCTAACTTTTCTTACAGCTTTCCCACGAGAGTATGTTGTTAATTTTTTCCCCTAATCTGGTGAAAAATATATTTCAGCACAGTTTTAGTTTTTATTTCTCTGATGAGCAATGTTGAATATCTTTTCATGTGATGACGGGCAATTTCTCTTTCTCTTTCTTTGAACTGTTCATTCACATCTGCTGTTTATTTTTAAATTGGGTTAGGTTATTGGTATTTTTTTCTCACCGATTTCTTCTTTATGTATTAGGGAGATAAACTCTTTTGTGATGTGAGGTGTAAATGTAACCCACACCTCCACTCCCATTTGTCATTTGTCTTCTTTTTTTTTTTTTATTGTTTGTTTATCTGATCACCCTCATTTGTATTTATTGTGGTAAAATAGACATAACAAGATTTACCATTTTTAAGTGTACAACCAAATGGCATTAAGTACATTTATAATGTTGTGCAGCCATTAGTGCTATTTCCAGACCTTTTTCATTATCCCAAACAGAAACTCTATTAAGAAATAACTCCCTGTTTCCCCTCCTTCCAGGTTCTAGTAACCTCTGTTCTCTTTCTGTCTTTATGAATTTGCCTACTCTAGGCAAATTCATACAAATCTCATACTAATCATACAGTTTTTGTCCTTTATGTTTGGT